ACAGGCGCTGAACGTGATCACATTGAAAGAGCGAAGATGCGAGAGAAGGTGACAAGGTAAATTCCTTCCTACGTCAGTATCTCTAGTTTATAAAAATAATAAAATATGGTAAGAAATACCGATACCACTGCTTTCAAGCCATTGCTTTGAAACTTTTCATTCCTATCGTGTATACATGTATTTTATAAGCATCACTCCTTCTTAGCAGTCGACTTTAACTAAGTCAATAAATAAATGAGATGATGAAGCAGTTTTCGTATAGAAAGAATGTTATGGTGTTTCGAAATGGTGACTAGAATGGGAAGAGTGTTTAGCGCTTTTTAAACTAAGATGACTTTTACAAACAGAAAATTTGTTTCGCTGTTTAGAATGTTAAAATATAGACAATTATAATTGTTCGGTTTGCAACAGAAACATGCAGAATAGCACCATCACAACACCGCGAACCTGTTGTACCTGTCGATTTAACTCTGGAATATGCATAGGCCTAGTATTGCATTTGTTCTAAAAGCATCATTCTTAAATGTTATTTTTAATTCATTTAGAACAGTTCGGAAGTTACAAAGATCCAATAGCCTACCAGCGTCAATTTTTCGCGCCCGGGGTGCGATAAAACGACAACGAAAATCCAGTGCGACCGTCCGTCAAAATAAAGACAATTCAGGTCATAATACAAAGAAAAATAGCACAAAAAGAACACCATTGACCGATAAAATCGATCCTTCTTACCAATTACAAAGAATAGTTATCTTCCTGCTAGTTTACTCCCATCAACCCAAAATCTAATTCAGAACGTTTAATTTGTAATTGAAAAAATGCTGAAAAGGAATCGCCGGTTATTACATCAATTTCCATTCTTTATACACAGATAGAGACTTAAAACGAAAGTCGTTTGAAGAAAAAGTATTTGATGAAAACCACATTTTGAAAGAGACATATGGAAAGGCGCTAGCAAGGTAGTGAAAATTCTTCTTAAAAAATTTTATCAAACAAGAATGAACAAGAATATTTTGAGTCTTAAATATAGACTGCAATACATGTTTATGTTCCGTCGCGTAATAAAAAAAATTTGACATGTTTGCTTAATTGTGCCCGGGGAAGGGGATTTATATGCGGTCACGAACGAATTCTCAAAATTTCGAGAAATATATGATCAAAGATACTTAGAAACACCTTCTATCGTTTTGAATGTCTGAAAGGCATCGTTGCAATGCCCTCGTATCCAACCGATATTACTTCTAATTTATAGTTTGGAATGGGTACAAGGTTTCAAACGGGTTAGTGGACATGGTGAATGCAGTAAACAAGTTTTAGAAATTACCTGCAAAATTGGCAAAGTACCGCACATTGCTGACCTTGAAAATTTATTCGAAGAAAAGAACTTTCCTTTCATTACCTATAAGGAGTGTAAGTTTACTTGCAAGTAACACATATGTATCAACTACCCAAAACTCATTGTCATTTTCATGAAACTTGTATAATATCAACTTTGTTAATTTGATAGTCTCAGGGGCTGAGTGGTTTGAAGCAAATATTCTCTGTGAAGATTTTAAAATAAAAGAGAAATTCTCCAAAGGATTGTCCAGGTATAAGTTAGATAATAGACCTTTTACATTTCATCCAACAGCGCAATGTGTGATTGTAGTAATAATCCAAGGCAATTTCAGCTGCGACATTGCTGTTTTCAAAATTTGGGGAAGGTCTATTGTTTGTCGCATCATTTTAACTATAAACATCTTTTGTTTAGCCTTGAATGGGTGGAATGTTTCAAAATCGTTTTTGCAGACCAAAGACGGCAAAAACGTAATTTGGAGATTGTCTGCAAATTTGGCATGGTACCTCGTATTCCTGATATTCTGAAGTTGTTTGGAGAAGAGATCCTTCCTTTCATTACCTACAAGGAATGTAAGTCTCTTCATTCCTATGATATTGCAAATAAAATCGAGCAATATTTTCATTACTGACGACAAATCTAAATGATGTTATACAACGCGCACGTTAATTCTATACATTTTTACATCCGTATATTATATTTAAACCGTTAATTATTTTATAGTCGCAAAGACTGAGTGGTTCGAAACAAATATCCTTGATGAAGAGCTGAAAATGAAGAAAGAATATGCAAATGATTTGTTAAGGTGACAAGAAAGCTATCAGCTGAGCTAACGACCTCGCGAGGCAGTTATCTCAGACCGAAAACCATCCGCACACGATAGAAACTTGCTTCTCGAGGCAAATTCCTCACGAAAAACTATCCGCACACGAGAGTAACTTGCTGAGCTAACCGCCTCGCGGGGTTTATTAACTCAACTAATAACCCAAGTGTGCGGCAGACTTATAAGGGACCGTTTATATATGAGAGCTGGGACGGGACGTTTCATGTTGGAAAGGAATAACAATGCTCAGGATTATTTCTATATGATTTTCGCATTCTGTTAATTTATATGAACCCTGGGACGTTTTTCAACCCGTCCCGCCCATGCAGACGGGATCCCAGTTTCGACCATCCCGCTTTAAACAGGATGTTTTTTGCCGCGTTGATGAAAGTGACATCCAAAGGGTAAATGTCGCGTTGGTTCCAATTAGAAACTCATCAGTTTTTAAGTATTTTGTGATAACCTTCATGCAATCTAAAAAGCAGGCGGTGGTATTTAATTTCTCCTGGGGAAATGCGGGGTGGAAGGTTATTACAGCGAAATAAAAACCAGGTACCAGGTTATCACGAAAATGTAATAACCGCTTACTCGCAGAGTATAAGCTTTTGAGAGTTTGATTTCCCTGCATTCTGATCACTGCTCGGTGACGATAGCTTTTTGTTGTTGTCTTTTAAATAAGAAATTTGAAGCAATTCTAAATTTTTATGAAATCATGTTCATATTATTTGCAAACACCTCGAAATATATACTAAAACAATTCAGCTATAGGCTTGTTACCACCTCGCCTTAGGCGACTAATTGTTAAATAGTACTAACTCTGTTCTTTCGCCTTTTCATTAGGCTATCCTGGGTGAAGAAATTCCATATTGGTTTTGACGGCAAGAAGGATAAAACGTGGAAGATTTACATCACACACGATGACCGCAAAACACCGTCGATGGAGGAGCTGGAGAAGATATTTGGCAATAAGATTTTCTATTTTGTTGATTTTATTCAAGAACGGGTCGTTAGCGACAGTTATTCTGGCTTTCTCCGAGGACCAAGACCAGGCGACGCAGTTTACGTCTCAAATGAACCATTTGGAGGAACAATCACTATCCTCGGTGTTGGAAATATCTACATGCCAAAACATTTCGCAATTACCTGTTATCACGTGTGCTTTAACGGAAAACTGAAAGAATTCGATTTATTCAAATCGCACAAAGTAATGAAGAAAGAGCATGAAAATGGTTCAAGCAATCTTGCTGGCGTTAGGTATGAGTATTCGGACGAAAACGGACGTCGGGTACTTGGCACGTTTTATCGTGGTTTATACAACGACGAGCACGATATTGCATTAATTCAACTTGATGAATGTTGGAGTTGTCACGATGCTGTCAACTACCTTGAAAGAGAGGGCGTTCGTGAAAATTTGGCTAGTAAAAGGGAAGTGATTGATAATTTAAAAAAGATGGGCGGGTTAGCTCGGGTTGTAAAATTTGGCTCTGTAAGCAAAGATAGAGAAGGGGAGCTGTTTGCAATAGATGCAGGGCCATTGGGAAACGGAATGAACCGCGGATTTTATGGAATAAGAAGTCTTCCAGATAAAAAAATCTTTTCGGAACCGGGTGATTCGGGTTCCTTGGTGTGTATGAAATGTAAAGATGGCAGAAAGTTGCCCTTCGCTTACGTCAGCAACACATCTGGTGGCGTTTATTACTGTCCTAATTTAAAACACAGTCTGAAAGCACTGAATCCTGATTTGGAACCTTGTTTAGGTAGATGCGGTTTTGAAAAACTTTCACTTGTGTGAATGATATGCATGCATATACCAAGCATATTTTAATGATGGTATGCTGGCTATTTGGACTAATTCAAAGTTGAAACTTTTAATTTTGTATCGAGAAACATTTAGAGGTAACGGTAACTGGTTACATATTATCTATTATTCTGTATACTTGCTTCATTTTCATTTCACTATATATTTCTTTTCACTAATATATATATATATATATATATATATATATATATATATTGCACTATTACACAGAGCAAACAATTTGAATTACATTCTGCAGGTCACCAAATGAAAAATAAGATGTAAAGATGTGATGTTATGTGATGTACATCAGATGTGATGCTAAGTAATTGTATAACGAAAGTAACAATTGAAAGTGTAGCATAATGTGTAATTGCATGTAAGTATTTAAACAAATAGATAACATTGAACCGTTGTCTGTTCAGTTAGTGATACACGAATATTACAGTTATACACATCATTTGTCATAAGAACAAAACAAAGTGGCCACGAGCCGAGTTCGACAATAGACTTTTCGCAAATTGTCGAGTCTATTATGTAAACCAAGCTTGTTTCAAGCCTTTTATTTAATCATCCGTATCAATCAGTCAAAGTTTATTCGGCATGGGTTACAATCCACCATCCTTTGCGCACTCATGGTTTCAGGTTAAATTCAGACTTTATCATAAATATCCGGATTTTTTACCCCCATGCACGCGCAGTTCCACATTTTTTGAAAAACTAGAGCTATATATATTGTTTTGTCAGGGTTCTTGGCCGTTAAATAGAAATTACGATTCTACCCCTACGTTATAGTTGCCTACGCATCCGGCGTCCGCTTGGATCTGTTGACGCGCCATAGCATGGTGTGTTTTATCAAGGAAATCCATGGTGTGAAGGTATATAGCATTAACAATAGACAGATCGTCCCTGCTATGCACTGTTTCCATGACAAAAACATCTTTTATCTATATCACGATGTGACGTCATTCTTTTTTGCGACCAAATTGTATTTGTTCTCTACCAAATTATATTTCTTCATTCGTGGATACTTCCTTGATCCAGACCACTGGAGAATTCACAATTCTTACTTGCATTCTCTGACGTGAATACAAAAAGCAAAGGATTTTCGTAATTTTCGTAAAAGGTATGTCGCACCATGATACTTCCAAAGTACTCGGAAATTTACAGAATCATGCAGGCATCTAATTAGCAAACACAATTTGCTTTTGACGCTCATACTTGTAAGAAAAGCAAATGACATTTTTCAACTGTAATGAGTAATTTTCAAAAGGTTTCAAGGCTTATATGAAAGTCAAATTGTATCAAATTAACAGAAGAAAGAAATTCTTACAAAATATAGGCTATACACCACGAAGAAATCGTTTTTCGATAAAACGATTTAATAGCTAGACAAGCTTTCAAAAAACTATTATACGAGTGACCTACATAATTATAATATATATTATATTCTCAGTAAAAAAATACACATGCGAACTCAGGATTTTTCACTTCTGTTGATTGTTTTAGCTATACTTTCGTTTTGGTCGCTTGATAACCCTGAAGGTGTAAAGCATTGGTTACTTGTTTCTTATTAAATTAAAGCGCTTATATAACTCAAAAGAAAACTAGGTGTAGGTTACATATTGTATATAGAACATGCATGCATGCATGCATGTGGGCCGGTTTTTGCAGCATTTTACAAAATAGATATTATTGATTCACCCAATGCTAAATTAAATTGCCGTATCACAAAATTAGAATGTAGGTATATTGATGAATAACACTCTTTGAGGGCAGCTATTTTGCATGTCTAAAACGAGTAGAGAAAAAAATCATAACAATATGAAACTTTGCATGAAGTCATGTTGTGAAAAAAAAGTATTGCATTCCCAGGAGGCCAAGAGCAACATAACAATATTCAAAACCACAAATAATGTTCTTCACAATTTTCGCCATGCATGTAGATATAAAGTTGTCTGATGTACTGATATAACATCTCTCTTTATACATTCAGATCAACAAAATCCTTGATACGTGTCGGTGGATTCCCCGAAATGGGTAAGAAAGGAACCTATAACTTGATGCAAGGGCGGTTTAAATCGAAAAATAAATGCAGATATGAAGAAGAGTATCTCATAGAAATTATACAGATCTACATTTGCATGTGCATTTTGTAATTCTGGGGGAGAGGTGTTGTTTATTTCTTTAGACAAAATCCATTTCACGCAATCCGAGAGAATGAATTACGCTGATATGATCAAGTCTCGTGTGTATGAAACGTAGCGAGACGAAATCAAGGCAGATTTCTCCGACCTGAGCAGCATTGGGCTAGTGATAAAAGGTAGTCAGGAAATTGTCACGATGGAATACAACATGTTCATCTTGAAAGATGGAGAGGCGAAAGTCGTTTAATCTGACGAAGTAATTAAATCTCTTTTGAGTGGTCCACAGCTATCCGCGTTAGAACTATCGAAGTCCGATCATGTCAAAGGCCATTCATTGCGTCCATCTCTGGTAATTTCCAGCCTTGTCAAAAGCCACGCACTCATTCCGTTCATCTCTGGTAAGTTCCAGCCTTGTCAAAAGCCACTCATTCCGCGCACGCCCACCTGCTTTTTCGTTTTCATCCGATCTTATTAGAGGCAATCGTTTCCGGACACTTACATATTTTCGTTCATTTTTTGGACAGCTCATTAAAAACAGTGGCTTCTCCCCCCGTCCCCCTCTTCAATGTTGGGTAAAGGCAAATTTGTTTTTGTAGAAAGCCTTTGGAGAGACAGTAAGTAATATATTAAGCCATATTTTTTATATTCAACATTGAAAGTGGGCGGGGGGGGGGGGAAAGGGAGGTTTATGAAATGTCCGGATAGTTTTGTCACTGATTGTATAGAAGGCGATGTGGCTCGTTGTATAACTTTGCCAAATTATGGTGTTACTTGTGAGGAAGTTATTCGTGGAGTAATAATTTCAATGCACGAAATAGAAGGAGTTAGGAAAAGAGTTGCTAAGGAAATCTCGTCCCTGATTTTGGCCAAGACATGTCGGAAGTATACAACAATTTTGGAAAATTACTTTCCGGCATGTCGAAGACACTAAACCAGCAAGCGTAAAATATAAAGATTCTTTTTATCCAAACCTTTATGTCATAACAATCATCGTCTACCCTTGCCAGGGTGGTGTGTTCGTTGAGGATCCCCTTAGTTTTCACGTTGTTGAAAATGCAGTTCGGAACCTGACCTTTTACAATTTGTTTGCACGCATGCAAGATCTATCTACAGAAGAGGTCGACAGGACAATTCCATGCGTAAAACTGGAAGGTATATAAGATAAAGAAATAAGAACGCTTCTTTAAGCTATCTTGGCAGAAAATCTAACTGATGAATGCCATACAAATCTATCCAGACTTTCACAATACCCATGCACATAACTATAGCTATATACCTCTTTTCAAACTTGCCTCATGTCGTTGTATTTAATATTTTTAGCAACTGGAAATGCTTCAGGCAGATGGTATACTCAGATTTCGCTGAAAAGGTAGCAATCTTTTTCTGTGCATTTCATACGCACATATATAAGTATATGCAGGGTAAAGTTTCAATTTGTTTAAATTACCATGCAATTTTGTAGCGTTTTTTAGGTTTACGCACTTTTTGAGTTTTTAATTTGTTAAACTTATGATAAGGTTGAAAATATTTGTACTGGTGTGCATGGGTACATGCATGTATACATACAAGAATTTCGTAATTCAACCTCAGAGGTTTGTCCAAATTCAAATTTTAGGTTAGATTGGGTCGAAAACGTTAACTTTGTTGATTTGAACGAGAGATGCAATAAACGACAGTTAGAAATTGTCTACAAATACAGCAAAAAACCTCCCTGAGGAGATTGTGGAATTTGTTGGACAGGAATCACCTCCTTTCGTTGTTTTTCGGGAAGGTGAGAAATTTTTCAATATTGTTCTTTACATAGTTTTCTATAGAAACTCAAATTCATTACGTACGGAGAGAATTCAAAAAGGTTGTTCTACGAAATTCGGGCATCTTGGACAGAAGGAATACTTAATGCTTGTTCGTTTTATGTTCAATGTTGTTCTCATACTAGGGTCAAAAGATGAATGGTTTGACAAAAATATTCTTGACTTGAATTATGATATGAAACAGGTTTATGTTAAATTGAAAAGTGAAAGGTAAGAATGTACCTTTAGATGTGATATAATTTTATACCAAACGTCTGTCTTCATGAAATTTAATTTTAACAGTTTGCTATATATTTCTTAAAATTTTGTATACATCTTCCAAGACCCTTTTGTTTTGTTATGCTTTAATCATGAGACATTTCTCACATTTCTATCGGGAGACATTTCTCACATTTCTATCGGAGACATTTTGAAAAGCAAATCCATAGTTCGTTAAAGGCATGTGTAAAATTGGAACTCTTGCATTGAAACCTTTCATAATTTCAAGAAAGTTGATTTAGGACACGCTGGTTACCTCGTGTTCGCATCAAAAGATTTTCACTAGATAAAATTCTCGTTTAGGTTTGAGTGGATTGAAGATTTCGAAATTGTTGATACACCTGAGGAACGTAACAAACATAGTTTAGAAGTTATTTGTAAACTAGGCAAAGTACCCTGTACTGCGGATATGGTGCAATTGTTTGGCGAAGAAATACTTCCATTTATTTCTTACAAGGATTGTAAGTTTAAATATTTCCATTGGTGCTATATATATTTACCTCTACCCATTAATTCGTAACTAATCTTATACTGACATCAGACGCCTACAATATATAAGTCGGATTATTACCTTATCTAAGGCTAAATAAACCTAAATTCTAACACCCGTGATTATTTGCTCTAGAAGCGTGTTTCTCGTTTACTATTTGTTTTTTAAGTACTATTTAAAACACGAGAAGGAGCTTTTTACCATATTTACCGGGAGAGAGGCAGTTGTAAGTACCTAAACGGATGCCTAATATGCGTTTACGTCATTTACATACAGTATGTCGCAACGAATGCATTAAAGCCTGCCCTATTTGCTAAATTTGCTCCAAGTATAATACAAATGCTAATTAGGATGAAAATTATATAAAGAATACTAATGAACGTGACAAATTATATAATGTGCCATTATATAATAAGCATTCATGGTACTTTGCCACGTATGAGGCTAACACATGTGACTTCGTAGGGTTGATTTTATTGGCTTAAATGCTTATGAATTATTAATGAGTTTTTGAACTATATGGAAAGCAATACAGGTATATTGTATACAATTCTCATTATTTGACTATAGGCGCGAAGGAAAAATGGTTTGCAACGCATGTTCTAGACGAAAACTCTGACATAAGTATGGGTCATAAAGATGAACTCGCAAAGTAAGAAAACCGTTCGCTTCAAACAGATTATAGAATTGTTTAAACACTATGCAATTAATATTCGTTTTATGCTTTATAATTAAGATTGGGATGGCTGGAAAGTTTTAAAATTATTGATGCAAACGAGGAATGCAGTCACCAACATTTATAAATCGTTTGCAAGTTTGGCAAAGTACCTCGTACCCATGAAATCATCGATATCTTTGGGAAAGAGATCCTTCCATTCATTACGTATAAGGAAGGTTAGTCTAATAATTCAGGAGTTGGCTGTCACTATTTCCAAAATAAATTGTGAAAATACACGTGTGAAAATAAATTCTTTCATTCAAACAAATTGTTTAAATCATCTGTGACAGTCTAATTTCAGATTATCATATCCAAAATATAAATACCAAAATACCAAACGTTTGTTCTTAAGGCACGAAACGTGAATGGTTTGAAGAAAATATACTAGGCAAAAATTCTGGTGGGAAAAAGAAATATAAAAAGAAACTAGCTGGGTACAGTATATCTATTATATGCAGTTTATTAATAATTTACAATTATATACCAGGAATAGATATACCATTTTATGACCGAAATAGACATTGCATAAAACATTTAATTAGATCGGCTATTCTTTTATTTAAAGTCAATCTTTCGCTGAATGTTTACACGTCAAATTAAATTTGAAAACCCGTTTTCATGAACAGAAAGCTTTTTGTCAGTTCTTACTTACCCCTAAATATATCTATAATTGTCGGTTTTGTGTTTTTGCTACTCACCTCGCCATATATGAGCTAATATCTGCATGGTGAGTATCTCCACCAATCAGATTGCAGAATAGCTCATATAGCTACAGTTCATAAGCTATATTATAATAAATGATATAATTATAATCACGATAACTTTAAACATTAAACAAAGGTCCTTACGCTAATCTTGTAGCTTGTTTTTTCGTATTTTTCAGGCTTTCCTGGGTGAAAGATTTCAATATTGGCATCGCAAAAGAACCAGAAAAATCTTGGCAATTATACATTACGTGCGCTCAAAATCAACTACCGTCCATGGTCGAACTGAAGAAATTGTTTGGTATAAAAATCGGCATGTTTGTTGATTTTATTCAAGATAGTAATCCCAACGAAGAGTCTCCTCCACTTTCATATCTTCTTGGAGGACTACGATCAGGACATAAAATTTGCCTGGAAGTACAAGACCGCAAAATTCCCACAGGAACGGTCGGCATCGTAAGTTACTCTGATAAAAAGCATTACGTGACTACATGTTACCACGTATGTTTCAAGGGAGATGTAAACCAAGACTTCCACAGAGTGCTGAAAGACGACTGCGCGAACAAAAACTCAGAAGGCTGCCAGGGAGCTACATGCGTCTACAAACTCACGATGGAAGAAGAAAGACGACTCGGACGATTCTGTCGCGGTCTATAACGCGGTCGATGACGACCACGATATTGCTTTTGTTGAATTGGAACCGAGATTGAATTGCCGCGAAGCTGTCAATTTCATTGAAGAAAGTCAAATTGAAACTGAACTGGCTGATATCAAGAAAGTCGAGAAAATCTTCTTCGATATGAGTGGCAGTGTTCCCGTGGAAAAAATTGGCGCCGTCACCGGAATAACAAATTGGAAATTAACCCAAATAGATGCTGTACCACCGCTAGGCTCACCAGGCAAAAATAATTGTTAAAAAATTGAGGGAAATAATGGAAAAGCCTTCCCGAGAAAGGTGACTCAGGATCTTTGGTCTATCTGATATACAACGAAAAAAGAATACTATTTAGCTATGTTTATTTGAAAAGTGAAACTAATGCAAACGTTCGATGCCGGAATTTACTAGACAATATAAAAAAATTGATAAACGACATTCAACCATGTTTGAACCCACACCATTAGAAAAATTGTATAGAATCACATGAAATTCGCACCGCACCTTTAAACAGCATGCAGCGTTATAATCTCAAAAACTGAATATACAATAGCTAGTTGGGTCTTATGGACTTGTTTACCAGTGACAATTTTCTATAGTATTCTATAATATATTTATTCAATATTATGCAACTGCAAAGAGACTAAAAATCTTCATTTTCCATTCATTCCATGCGGATGTTTTTTCGATTAATTGTTTTCTAAATCTTCTCTGACTAATTCAGTTTAGAAAAACTATGAAAATTTGTGAAAAACCTAACAGCAAAAGTGCAGGGAACTTCATTTAAATACCGCGGGTATAAAACTGCTGAATCTGCTAAATATGTCGCATATTACACCAAGTATTCCGAACATTTCCTAAATCAAAATGGCGACGGTGTATTGCAAAACATGCAAATTCACTGATTCTTCGAAGATGAAATGCTCGAAAACTGCAGGTTTGTGAAGTTAAAAACAAGTTTATTAAGACTTTCTATAATTTAGCCTAATTTTCTATCGTGTTTTCAAGTAGTGCTTGAAGGTGGGCTACGAAAATCGTTTTCTAAGCGACTTTAATTTAAAATAATTTAAAATCTTAAAATTACAATGATTTTTCGCTACTCAGAGTGAAAAATTTTCACTCTTTTAGTCTTAACGAAATACGATTATCTTGGTTATATATATATATATATATATATATATATATATATATATATATATATATATATATATATATATATATATATATATATATTTATTAATTCACATAATTCTCAAAAAATTGGCATCGCTATACTGTGAGTTTCATGCCACAGAGGCAATAATCAGGCGACTAAATTTAAAATTTCAGTTCGTTACAAGTTTGTTGACGTGCGACTTTCTTGTTTGCGCGTGCGTTTAAAATTTCCTGCCCAGAATTTTTCTCGGTGGCGGCACTTGGCGAAGATCTCTGATCTTTTGTTCCGGAGTTTTTTTGCGTCACCCTGCAAAAGACACAGTTTCTCTGCAATACAGAGGTTGCATCGTTTAGCACCCGGCGAGTATGCTGGCGCGCGTTTTGTGATGGACCATGAAAGTGTAAACTTCTTGTCATTTCTTTTTAAATCCCAAATATACTTTGAAAGTTCAGTCTCCTTCTCGTACCTGGCGTGGTTAAAGGACTTTTTATGGTTGCTGAATCTTGATTTAAACGAATTCGCGGTCATTCCGAGGTATTGCTTGGTCTCATATACGCTATTTAATTCTATTTCGGCTGAATAAACCACAATACAATACAATACAAACAATTTATTTAAACACGGTGGAATATTCAGTTAAAAAATACAACTGGTTTACAAAATTGCCGTGAGAGAGTCGTTATATATATTAGTAAAATAATCATTTGTAGCTTTCTTTAATTGAGGAAAGAGGGTTGAATTACGCATTTCTTCAGGAAAGCTATTCCATAACAAAGCCCCGCTATAGCATAAGCTACGTTTTAGATAGTTCGTTCGTGTTTTTGGTAAATTTAATTTAAATTGATTATTTCTAAAGTCATACTCAGAATTTCGAATAGAAAACAAGGTTTGTAAATATGGAGGCATATTTCCTTTTAATATTTTAAACATCAACTGAGACTTCAATTTTTTACGTCGTATATAGAGATTATCTAATTGCAAGCGATTTAAGAGAGCACAAGCGTTGGCATCATAACTTGACCTCGTTATGACTCGAACTGCTTTGTTTTGTAATTTTTGTAATTTTTTTGCAAGTGTGTCCCCTAATTCATCCCAAACCGAGCAGCAGTAGTCAAAATGTGGTTGTATTAAAGCGAAATAAAGCTGAACTGCCGCCTTGCGCGATATAAAGGGTCTTACGCGCTTTAACGCTCCAATAGCCGAAGAAACCTTTTTGGATATTTTGTCAATATGCTCTGACCACGAGAGGTGGCTATCAATATACATACCTAGAGATTTGGAAACATTGACCCTGTTTATTTCACGATTGTTAATGGAAATAGATATATCGTTATCTTAATTCTTTGCCGCGATCCTATTATCATGAATTCCGTTTTAACAATATTCAAACTAAGCTTATTAGCTGTAACCCAGTTATTCAGATTTTCTAATTCACGGTTAATAACAAATTGCATTTTGTCCAATGAATCAGCGGAATAACTTATACTCGTATCGTCCGCAAACATTCTGGGCTTTGATACATTCAAGCAATTTGGTATAGGTCGTTAATATAGATTAGGAATATAGCAATGGCCCCAAACTACTACCCTGGGGGACTCCACAGGTTAACGAGGTAGAGCTTGAGAGCTGACCATTTACTTTGCACTTTTGTTTTCTATTCGATAGATATGACCTAAACTAATTTAGACTACCTGGATCAACTCCATAATTTGTTAGCTTTAGCAGAAGAATTTCATGGTCAATGGTGTCAAAAGCTTTTTTTAGGTCGATAAAGACTACCGCATTTAACAAGCCGTTATCTATATTAACCGACCAATCATTTGTTGCCTCTAGTAGTGCTGTTAGTGTACTGTGAAATGATCTAAACCCAGATTGACAAGAAGTCAGCAGGTTGTTCTCATTAAGATAATCATAAAGTTGGTCGTAAATGATTTTTTCGAAAATTTTGGACATCGTTGGTATGATCGATATATAGGTCGGTAGTTATACCTGGATCAGTTTTAGCGCCATTTTTGTATAAGGGTGACACTCTAGCTTCCTTCCAATCGTTTGGAAATATTCCAGTGGCAATAGACTGGATAAAAATTTCTGTCAGTGAGGGTGCTATCACATCGGATGCTATTTTCAACAGTTTATTAGGGATATAAATGTAAATGACTTGGCCCAGTTGAGGACATTGTCCGGCAGTTCTTTTGAAATGGACGGATAGAATTCGACAATATCGAAAGATAGAAACATGTGCTTGGCTTTATCATCAATCTTTTTAAACCAATCAATAACTGAATAAGAGTTTTTCCACTGGTTGACATTTAAAACAGATCTGATTGTGTTATTAATACGATCAAGGCGTTTAAACGCACGCGCAAACAAGAAAGTCGCACGTCATCAAACTTGTAAGGAACTGAAATTTAGTCGCCTGATGATTGCCTCTGTGGCATGAAACTCAGAGTAGCGATGCCAATTTTTTAAGAATTATTTAAATGAATAAATATATATTGCTCTATTTGCTTGCAGTATTGAGCTGCCACTCTTTTATCTCATACGAAGAATTTCTTAATAATTGTTTATATATATATATATATATATATATATATATATATATATATATATATATATATATATATATATATATATATATATATATATATATATATATATATATATATATATACATGACAACTGCAATGTCTCCAATGATCGCAATTTCATTTAATTGCACGCCCATGCAAATTTTCTTTCGCATGTTATAAAGAAAAATGATAAATGTTTAAACAGGTGAAAATCGTTAGTGCTATTGTAAACAAGTCAGTATTAAAGACTGACTAGTCTGCCACTTTTGCAATATCGTGGTTCCGAGAAAAAGTGAAAGTTGATATTGCTCAACACTTCTAAACGGAATAATCTGGCCTTGGCTTTCCAGGTTAGTTTCGAACTTCGAAGGAATTAATTGTTACTAGAGTTTCGTAGGCTATATATATATCATGAACCTCGTTATTTTACACTTCAAATCATGTAGAATATTTATATGAAAATACAAATGTTTGGAAAACTAGAGTTCTGAAATTGTCCTAACACAAGTTCAAATGAAACATTCCAGTTTATAAACATTTTAGTTGAACTGAACTTGACAGTTGTAAAAATTGAACTGTTTTGATGTTTGTGTAGTCGTTTGGATGCAGAAATCCCGCAAAATTGATTCCTCTTGTGAGTTTGTTAAAAGAAGCTCAGTTTCATCTTCATTCACAGAAGTCAGGGCAGACATGTTAGTGTTTTTATCATTACGAGTCGGAGTCTCAGCTACGTAATGTTCGCTGGAATCAATTACAGAAGACAAGCAACCGGCCATTTTGCTCTTTGTTAAATCGTCAGTTTTAGTGTAGCTCTTTAAACTGCTTTCACTCCTGTGACCGCTCACTGACATAATGTGTCTGGCTTCATAGCCATTTCTGTCGAGGATAGTAATTGTTGTTGCTCGAATCGAATGGTTGGTATATTCAACAGAAAGCTTTGCTTGTTTTGACAACGCTTTCATCTTCTTGCCAAGTGTGTTTTGCCCGACGACCATATTGTCATACCAAATTACCCGCTCAACAGGACAATTATACTTCGGCCTTTGGAAAAGAAACTCGTTGACGGGGTTAAGATGATTTAAATATTTTTCGAACGAATGCACAGGGCAGTAAGGACTGTCATTGGCAACCATAATTCCCCCTTCTTCAGCTTGAGCGTCGTTTACGCGGTGGTTTTTCGTGAGTTCGTCTGTTTTTTTTACAACACATCGCTGTCCTTGTGGGTTCGTTATAATAACGAAATCGTCTTTCTTCAGGTCGCGAAGATTCTGTCTTCCTCGACGACAGAAGAAGAACATAATCTCAAGGAATACTTTGTTTTGGAGAGTGGCTGGACTGTCTGTATTGAAAACGCCGCTTTCATAGAGTTTCTTGATATCTTCGTCGGCTATTGGTGGTTTGTGTTCTGTTTTGGCAAGTCCTCGTTTCTTTAAAGCTACGCATTGGGCCTCGTACACTTTGTTTGCTTCGTCAAATTCTTTGTCTTTGATGATGTCGTTGTTGAAAAGAGACTTAAAGTATCTATTCAGTCCAAACCTTATTGAACACAGCGAATTTTTTGTGTATTCCGACCCATCTTTTTTTCTCACTTCAGCGTAGAAGCACTTGAGAACTGAAGCAAGTTCTTCGCTATTTTGTGGATGGCGAAGCCTCTTTTCTTGTAAATAGTCTTCAAAGATCATTTTGCTGCCTTTGGTAGCTCTTTTTGTGTTTTTTGAGTCTTTTTCTTCCAGCAATTTTTTAATTTCATCTTCACCAAGGTCAGCGAACCTTTCCTTTGATGAAGCCATTCGTATTTTCCCGCTTTTAGGTTTTGGCACAAGCCGCATAAATTAGCGTGACGTCATACCGTGCAATAATTTTTTTCATATCTGACGAAGTGACGTCAAACGTGCAATAATTTTTTTCATATCCGACGAAGTGACGTCACTGTCCAAATTTGGGCAGCTGCCGAGCGGATATGACGATTTCGCCAACAGCTGCTGGCCAATCAAAACTCTTGACCCATTTTCAATAAATAATAAATATATATATATATATATATATATAAATTTACCGAGATAGTATGAGGAGCTACAAGTCATCTCTTGTAGCTCCTCATACTATCTCGGTAAATTTAAATAAAGCACGCTTCGGCTTGATAGTATGAGGAGCTACAAGTCATCTCTTGTAGCTCCTCATACTATCTCGGTAAATTTAAATAAAGCACGCTTCGGCTTGTGCACTCTTGATTTGCTATAACAACTTTTCTAAATTTTGATATATATAATATATATTATATATAATATATATATATATATATATATATTATATATATATATATATGTATAGGTTATCACATGAGGGGTGAGGTGATATCAGTTTTATCGCTTGAGGGACGATATCATAAATGTCACGAGTGAGCGCAGCGAACGAGGGACATTTATGATATCGTCCTGAAAGCGATAAAACTGATATCACCTCGTCCCGATTGTGATAACCTGTTTATCACATACTTCGTTTTCTTCTATAAAGCAATCGACATCGACTGAAACAAACCTCGAACTGCTCGAGTCAGCCATCTTTGTTTTGCCAGCGGCAAATGCAGCGGGACAAAAAGCGATATCAGTGACAAAAAGCGATATCAATGACGATATCGTTTTTATATCACCCTGTTATCGCCCTGATAAAGGCACAAGTATGTGATATATATATATATATATATATATATATATATATATATATATATATATATATATATATATATATATATATATATATATATATATATATATATAAACAATTATTAAGAAATTCTTCGTATGAGATAAAAGAGTGGCAGCTCTTTAATAGTTAGCGTTTCCGAATTCTCCATTATATATCAAATATGCTTTAACTTTGCTCTTAAATTGATGCTGTTTGCACTGAAAACGCTTGAAAACATTAGCGTACGTGGACTTACTATGATAAGCGATGGAGAGACGTAATAATATAGGCTTATAGCGCCATTCATTGCTATAGAGTATAATGGATAAAATTGATGCAAGAAGACCTTAAAATATAGCTATAAAAGATATCGCTTTCTGTATTAAAATACACATCTAACATGTTTATTGGATTGCATACATTTACCATGGAAAGCATTAGCCAAACGACACACGATTCCTTCGACTAAAACGACTGCAGGTTTCGTCGGATGGCGGAGCCGCGCAGGCAAACAGGTTAGCGCGTATAAACGTTGGTTTTCCGACTCGTCAACAGTATAATATACAACTGGCATTTGGACTCGCAGTCGTATTCGTACGCACGGCGAGAGCAGCTGCATGCTCAGGGGACCGGCGGTTGTTCGAAAGATGAGAAACTTATCCATTGGATAAATCTGTTATCCAGTGCCATTGGATAAAAACGCGTTGCACGAAGCATGGACAGTGGAGGAGAAAGCTATCCAATAGATAAGTTAAAATTTACCCGGAGAGACCAGGATTCTCCTGAAATTTCGTACCGCAATGCCGCTTGTTGCTAAGACTTGAATTTCTTTTACGATTTGAACAGTTGCAATTTAATTCCTTGAGTCTTCACCTTGTAACGCTTTGCCTTTCGGTTCCATAAAAATTTTATCAACACTATTTTTTACGTTTTTACGATTAGCTATTAATCCTCGGGCTAATCAAAACGAAGAGCAAAATTTGTAACTTTGTTGTCTATATATTGCATGCATGAATAAGGTTTTACTTAGTTCAAACAATATTAGCAGTTTCCTGGGAATAGGTTGAATCTTTCTTTGCATGCACATTCGGGTTTATAAACTGATAAGAAGTGTATAGTAAATTTCATCGTAAAGATGTCCAGAAAAACACCAAGGAAAGGGAATGTACGTGCACACATCGTGAAACGCTGCTGTGACAAATATAACAATGGCTGGATTGCACTTCGAAAGCATTTTTAATAGTGAGTACGATCATGTGCATTAGTTTGTTCAAACCCATGCAGTAACAGGAATATTGCATTTTTGTCATTATTGAACCTTTTTCATTGTAAACGTTTACAGTGTTATTTTGTATCTTCGAATTTATCCACTGGATAGTGGATTCAAACTACCGCAGGACCTTGGATAAATTTATTCAATGGATAGCGATTTACGATTGACGATCCAAGCTTCATGCAACGCAAATCGCACGCTGGATAAAACTTATCCGTGTCATTCATCAGTACTATGTTACTGTCGTTAACAATTCGGAAGGAAAACACAAGTAGCTATTTCACGAATAAACATCCCACCTTTATGTGGAGTTTTGATCTTTGTAAAATTTGTTTGAACCTGAGACAATTTTATATGAATTGAAGGTAAATTATTTTTGCATAATATCAGGTTGACTTCGAAAAGTTTTCTTAAATATTTCTGGTAGTCGCTTAACCTCATTTGAAAGTTGATCGAAAAAATAAATTCCATAAATTCGAAAAATGTATATATGTATAAATATGTATATTTTGCCAAAATTAAATTTATTTCTGTGTTTATTTGCAATTTGAGAACGATAATAATTATATTTCATCTCACGAGATTTACGGGAACGCTTTGATCGTGATAAAGGTCAACATTGGTGAAAAATTTTTAACTCGGCTTCCAAGTTAGTCTTGAACTCCGCGAGGGGAGACCGCAGAGCAGTGGGGGAACAGAATTAGAATTAGAAATCTTTGAAAATAGAATAAGATAACCAATTAGTGGGTAACCTAGCAGCTTGGCTTCTTTCACGTGTCAACTGATGCAATATTTTTCAAATCAATTTTAAAAACAATAGCCACTTTATTTAACTGCATGCATGCTCATGCAAATTTCCATCGCGAGTAATAATAAATAATAAATTTGTTTTGATGAATAAGTTCTATTCCTGTTGGGTCATGCAGACCTTACATTTCAAGGAGCCGCCAAAGAGCGAATTTTCTCAACTTCAGTCGGCGGATGAATTTATTCAGGGCATAGTGTTTTTTATCCGCTGAATAAACTTGCGTTGCACGATTGACGATCCAAGCTTCATACAACGCAAATCACACGCTGGATAAAACTTATCCGTGTCATTCATCAGTACTATGTTACTGTCGTTAACAATTCGAAAGGAAAACACAAGTAGCTATTTCACGAAAAGCATCCCACCTTTATGTGGAGTTTTGATCTTTGTAAAATTTAAACATAATCATTTTAAGGTACGTACATGCATATTCAATTTCGTATAGACCTAGTTTGTAATATTTTCTTGTAATTGTTACACTGATGCGAAATAGTCCGGAAAATGTTATTTTTTTATTCAAATCGGTCGTTATGAACATTCCAGCGAGTGTTCTAACCTGAGAAATTTTCATATTAAATTAACGTAAATTATTTTTGCATAATATCAGGTTGACTTCGAAAAGTTCTCTTTAATATTTCAGGTATAGTCGCTAAACCACATTTGAACTCCGAGGGGAGACCGCAGAGCAGTGCATGGGGGAACAGAATTAGAATTAGAAATCTTTGAAAATAGAATAAAAATCGAGTGGGTAACCGAGTCAACTGATGCAATATTTCAAATCAATTTAAAGAACAATAACCACTTTATTTAACTGCAAATTTCCTGCAAATGCAAATTTCCATCGCGAGTAATAAATAATGAAGTTTGTTTTGACGAATAAGTTGTATTCCTGTTGGTCATGCACTCCTTACACTTCACGATCATAGAGTCTCCAAAGACCGAATTTTGTCAACTTCAGTCGGCGTATATGATAACTTCGCCGAGTTCATAGGAAAATAAGTTATATATATTGTGAATTAAGAAAGAAAGCTTCAGCAAAAGTCTACAAGATGTATATAAAAAACTGCGACACTTAATAATCCTATATGTTCGCTTCCATAGTTCTATTCTATAACAAAAGATCTTATGCCACATTTCTGACAAGAAATATTCCGGCTTTAACTTTCCAGGTTAGTTTAATCAGTATACTACAGCTTTTTCGATTGTTTACTCTAAGCGTTTCTAAAATTTTTTCGTTTTGATGCCACGTTTACAGGGTCGAGCGTTTGCATCTGAACACCGCAGCGATAAAGACACGTAATAATATAGCGATATTATCGGTTATAGCGATAAAATTGCTTTAATAGTCGGTAAAATAATTATATTAATATATGTTTAATATTTATATATACATGAAACATGTTTATATTTTTCCGATTGCATACATTTATTTTGGCGATATCTATATAGGAATGGGCGAATGATAAGAAAACTCTGCCAGGCAATTTATACATGAAGATTGTATGATATATAACCATAAATTCAGCCTGCAGTTGTTCCCAATTTTGTTTATTGTTAAACAGATAAAGATGGGAAAAGTCTAACTCAGTCTGCATGCGCTCAATTTCTGTTCATTTTTTTCTTTAGACGAGGCAAACAGTAAAGCTTCAGACAACTGAAAAAAATTAAGTTACAACACTCAATGAAGAAGTGTCTCTTGCTGACGGTACATTTGTCTTATTTTTTTCGTGAATTATAATTTAATTTTGGTGCTAATTACATGACTTATGTATTAGGACAGCGGTGCGTGGGATCGCCAGGGTGAAGGTCTATAGTTGTTTGACTGCCACATGCTTCGTCTATATTGAAAACTCTTCTTTGAGAACTTGAGCAACACAAAAAAGGTTAAGAGAAACTTCAGCGTCAAGAGGCAATAATATGATAGTAATTGGACATGGAAGTAGTATGCATTGTGTTCCTTTACCCGGCTTTAATTACGGACATCAACTAAGGTATATTTCTAGAGAAAGTTGGCATTCTAAGATGCTTGTTGACTTTGCAGTCGACGGTAAAACAGTACATAATGAAGGTCATGGTACTGAAAGTTTGATTTCGATACCAAACAATGCTACCAATATCGAAGTTAGATTTCAAGTCAAGCGTTCCCCTGGTGTTTGGTCTGATGTGAAAGAGTATGATCACTTCAATAAACGCTGGATATGGCCAACCCGGCCGCATATATTTCGGTACAACAGACCAGCGAGTTGCACGTATATTTTAAATGGAATCTGGTTTCATGAAAAGGTGAAAGAGATCCCTAGAAATTATTATTTAGGCAAGCAAGTTGGATTACAGTATTTCTCTGCAATTAGTGGGTTTTCCAAGATGCTTGTTGATTATGAGGAGGATGGTAAAGAGAAACATCACGAGGGTCATGGTAGTGAAAGCTTGATACTGATACCAAACAATGCTACCAACATCAAAGTTAGATTTCAAGTCATGCGTGCTCCTGGTGTTTGGTCTGATGTGAAAGAATACGACCGTTTCAAAAAATGTTGGGTAAAACCAACCAAGACTCATATTTTCAAGTACGACACACCAGTGAGTTGCACCTACACTTTGGATGGAAACTTGGATTGGGAAAGAGCAATATCGATAAATGACGATGAATACAAACCAGTTGGACGAGAAACAATTGATATTGATAAAACCACGGTATCTATCGATAAGTCAGAACAAAAAAAATCATCCCAAACGCATACAAATTTGATGGGAGGCTACAAAAATAGGCTAGATAAAGGCGATGGTACCACCTACAATTCTAAAGCCAAACATAAGCTACAGTATATTTCTAAAGATGGTTGGTGTTTCAAGATGCTCGTTGATTTTGTAGAGAACGGTGAAACAAGACATCATGAGGTTGAAGGTAGCGAAAGCGCCTTTCCATTACCAAACAATGCCACAAATATCAAAGTTAGCTTTCAGGTCAAGCGCTCTCCTGGTGTTTGGCGTGATGTGAAAGAATACAACCATTTCAAGAATGATTGGGTAAAACAAATCAAGCCTCATATTTTTAAGTACGATACACCAAAGTGTTGCACTTATATCTTGACTGGGGACAAGTATTCGGAAAGAGTAAGGGATATTATGGGACATGATAATTAAAATAGGTCTGAGAGAGGTGATGGTAAGCATAAACTGATGTATATTTTTGAAGGAAGTTGGCTTTCCAAGATGCTTGTTGACTATAAAGTGAACGATGAAAAGAAAAATCACGAGGCTCATGGTACTGGAAGTTTGATTCTGTTACCAAACAATGCTACCAACATCAAAGTTAGATTTCAGGTCATGCGTTTTCCTGATGTTTGGTCTGATGTGAATGAGTACGACGGTTTCAAAGAATGTTGGGTAAAACCAAACAGGCCTTGTATTTTCAAGTACGACAGACCAGTGAGTAGGACGTACACTATTTGTAATGTTATGAAGATAACGGAAGATGGAAGCATTATCAGCGGTGATCTAATACATTACAACGGATGCAGTCTGATACATGTCAGAGTCGCGTTTCAGGTAAGCTAAGTATACATGATTGAAGTAGTAATATAAAGGCCGATTGTGACTTAGAACGAATAACAGAAAAAAGTCATTACCTCTTTTAGCATCAAAATTTCTTGTAATTCTTTAGATATATAGTATACAGCTAATGTATGTCTTCGAGGGAAACATTGAGAAAACAATACTCATTATATTTCCAAAGGGAAAATACATTGAGGAATAAGTCTTGTAGCTATTATATACTTTCAGGCTTACTTTCAGGGTATTCCGAGTATTCAAGCTCCGAAAAACGGTCAAGCAACGAAATCATCGTCCGCCATGAATATCAGCACGCACGAATCAACTCTAAAAGTTCCAGTCAAAATAGCTTCTGCTGTTTCTTTTAATGGTAAAGAGATTTAGAAATTGTTCGAAATGGTGTGGTAACGTCTCCAAACAACTTAGCATCGAATGTGGTATAAAAACTGCCTAAAATAGACAAGTTCATAACTATCTCTCTTGGCGAAGGCTCTGGACTTAGGTAGACACGTCAAGAATTGCTTTGTCTAACTTTATAGGCAGCTGTTGTGCCATAATTGATGCGAAGTGTTTGTTAATTACTTGAAAATTACGCACATATCTTAGAACTCCAAAAAATTCAAAGTATTGTTTCCGGCAATTTGATTGTAATAAAGTAATTAACAAATTGATAACATTGAGGTATGTGTCTGTTCGGTAGTAGGTGGACTTATGACGTCATTTGTGATAAGAAGCGACCACGAGCCGTTGGGGCGATATGGTATAATAAAATCAGAAAAATTCCGAAAACAAACAGGTAATAATTTCCCCCAAAAACTTGGAAAATTGTCAAAGTAGAAATTTTGCAACTATTACGCGTACATGATCTTTTTAGATTGACGAAATGCTATTGACTAGCTTAAGACACGTGCTAAATGTGCTTGGCTGACAAAGTAAAACAAGAGATGACTGATTAAATTCGTTAAAATTTTCTGTGACGTCATTTCGTGTCGTCTGTCCTCTTCTAGATCATGGCTCTCGACCAATGAGATTGCTTGAATTCTTAACATTATACAGGGTGTATCAAAAAAAGTGTCCCAAATGTAAAATTTTCGTTTTCAGGATATTTTGTAGAATTTGGCAAATTTTTGTGTTCCTTGGGATTAGTTAAGACTTATCTGGTATACCTAGGCCAAGTTTGGTTTTTCATTAACAAAATTATGTTACCGGGGGATGTGTTCCTTTGCACTGATATTGAGAGGGCTTGCGCGCGAAAATGTGTAGCTGAAATTGAGATATGATTTAGCTGTCTAAAAGTAGGAAAGCTTTTTAATAAACTGTCAAAGTTTCAGGAAAAATAATGCATACTGGGAGCAACGCGCGACCCCTAAAGTTGACAAATATTTCATTGCGCGCAGTGGATTAAATGCATCGTTGATTTTAGCGTGACCGATCTCGTGCAAGGTTGGGCAAATGAATAAATTAAAGCGAGAAACTGAACACAAAAACAAAGCGATTTATTCGTGATGTTAATCCTCAGCATGTCCACCACTTCATTATAAGCAAACTGCGGCTCGTCTAAGCATAGTAAACACTGAACAGCGAACCATTTGTCTGTCCATTCGCCTAGATTTGCCGGTGGTAGCATAGGTGATTTGCAAGAAAGAATTTCGAACCAAATGGATAATTTGAGGCAGAACAGACAAATGGTTCGCCGTTCAATGTTTACCATGCTCAGACGAGCCGCAGTTTGCTTAGAAAGAAGGGACATTTTTTTTATACACCCGGTATATAATAAGTTATTATTATATAGCAAGTTTCGAAGTTCATATGTTTGAGAATCTGATTGGTTAAAATTACGTCAGGTGAGATACTATTCGAATGTTTACTACAAAATCTTGTTTGTCAGGTTTGAACCAGTTTGAACGGGGGTTAATGCTTTTAACCACCGGGGATTAATAAAACTGCAAGTCGTGATACCACGTCACATATTACCTTTGAAGTTTGAACCTCAGCCGAATTCTTTTTAAAATGAAAAGTCTCTCTGTTAGTTTTGCCTAGTACGTTTGTGTCGCTTATTTTCACCCGTTGTTTCCTTTGAAACTTGCTATATAATAATAAGACACTTATTGACTGATATTCTCGGGAAACATCATGTTTTGTGGACCCTCGACCACCATGTTTGTTTTGTCCATTTCAACATCATGTTTTGTGGACCCACGGGTAACATAAATGCCCAAACAGATCGGACGCGAACTATATATCATCATATTCTAATATGATCTATGTGCTTCTAAAACTGAAAATTCGCTTCCCTTTGCCGCATTGCGTTCGGTCTATGTCTGTGTGTTTTAAAAGTTTATTTAGTTGGCGTTAAATAAGCGAGTATCTATCATGAATTAAGACAACTCGTGGACTATTAAGATGATTTTAGTGAGAACTTGTAGTCGCCGTTTAAGGAGCGAAAAGTTGTGCGTTGTATATATTGACTAAAAATAATGCAAAGTAAATTATACAACCCTGACTCGTTCGCGACGCCCCTGGTAACACCTGAATTTCCATGCAAAAGTAGCATGAATGCAACGGTAATTAAATCTTATTTTTAAATAGGGTCAACAAATAATGAATGGTTTGAAGAAAACGTATTTGACGAAAACTGTGACATTAAAGAGGTTTGCGTAAATGAATTGAGAAGTGAAAGGTATGTTCCTTTACTATACCAATTAATCTAAAAAGATATATTATACTACAACCACATCATCAAATTAAGACAGTAAGTTCTCAATTTTTAATACACTATTATGATCACACAGTCTTTACTTTCGACAAATTACTACATATAAATGAATTAGTTTGTAGTTACACCACGTAAGTATTTATTATTGCAAAGCTTTCGGTCCGTTAACTCAGTGGGACAGTAAAAATTTTTGAAAAAGGATCTTTACTTATATTGTGATACCATCATCAAAGCATGAAAATTACAAGAATATAATTATTACATATTCTTGCAGCACCAGGAACTGGTTCCTAACCGCTGCTAATCTTGTTGTTGTTGTTGTTGTTGTTGTTGTTGTTGTTGTTGTTGTTGTTGTTGTTGTTGTTGTTGTTGTTGTTGTTGTTGTTGTTGTTGTTGTTGTTGTTGTTGTTGTTGTTGTTGTGGTTGTTAGGGGGCGACGCTCTTTAAAAAATCCTAGGGCTCTAGCATTACTTGTTTGATCGGAATGAACTTGGCACAATTATTCTAAGCAATATTCCGCATCGATTGACGGAGTTCGAATTTTTACTTTTGACCTTTGAAGCAAGTTACAAGCAATTTTTGATATATTTGCAGCAAATAATATATACATATAATAATATATTCAGCCTATATATAAGTAAACGCTAACGATTAGAAATACATTGTCCTCTCCATTGTTATAAATACAATGCAGTTCAGAAATTAAACTCGGTTACGCAGTTTCTGGTCCACTATAGTACGATCGTACTTGTTAACAAAATTGTTTTTAATTGCGAGCGTAGAAAAGCCTTAATCTTAAAGGATAAGCCACCTTATAAATGAACTATATAACTCTGATCCACTTTCATAAATTGATTTGAGTAAACAATACAAACTCCCTTATTAGATTCTCTTGGATAAAAGATTTCCATATTGGGATTGATGAAGGAAAAAAGTCATGGCAAATGAGCATCACCTACGCTCGAAACACAGAACCTTCGATGGAGGACCTAAAGAAGTTGTTTGGTGATAACATCGCCTCATTCGTTGAATTTATCCAGGAGAGCGACGATGAAGATGAAGAGAGATTAAGAACTTCCTCTTGTTTTCTTCGAGCACCTAGCTCTGGTGATACTCTGTATGTTCAAAATGAAGAACGCGGAACCATAGCAGTCCTTGCTGCCCAGGTGCGAAGCAACAAAAAACACTACGCCATCACCTCCTATCATGTTTGTTACTGCTTCAACGATTTACCGGAGAACATATTCGAAGCACACAACAAACTGAAAGAAGACTGTTGCTCCAATGACGCCGCTGGATGTATTGGTAGCCGGTACGAATATATGAATCAAGAAACAGTATTGGGAGTGTTCGAGTGTGGTTTATACGACGACAAAAATGATATTGGTTTGATCCAGCTCACACCTGAGCTGACCTGCGTTGACGCTATTGCTGTCCTTGTCAATGAGGTTGAATCACAATTACTTAGTAAAAAACAAGTCTGGGAAATATTCAAGACGTACATGAAAATGGGTAAATTGCCTAAAGTCAAGAAATATGGCTCGGAATCCGACGAAACAGAAGGGGAACTTTTTGCGATAACAACAAGCTGTCTGCCAAACGACATGAATCTCGGTTTTTATAAAATTCGTGGAAAACATGCCGATGATTTCGCAAGAAAAGGAGATTCAGGTGCATTGGTTTGTATAGTACATGAAAGTAAGAATTTACCATTCGCCATAGTAAGCAATCACGTGCCAAATGCAAACGTGTATTACTGTCCAAATTTACATCAAAGTATTGAAGCGTTAAACAAAAAGTATAGTTGGATCAACATTAAACCTTGCATACGCCAATGTGGCCGCAGTTGATAATTTGATATGATTCTATTTTCATGCTCGTATTTTTAACATAATTTAACTGTAAATGTCATTTTAAGCCTTTTTTAATGTATCATTGTAATAATTTATATAGTTTATATAGTTATAGTTAGAAAATCAACAATACGCCCATGATACTGGTGCGACTTAGTCATCGAAATATCTTTATATATATTCATTATAATTCATACATATTTATTATATATAATGAGTAGCAAATCAAATAGTATTGGGCACTCTTGCTTTTTTCACCAACAACTATATATTCTTTTAAAGTAGATTCCAGACCAATTTTAAGAGGACACGATTAATATTTATTTAATTACAAAGTTAATATTTGTATTATTCATAATTCGATTCTAGATCACCAGCGTTTCCACAATTTAAGGAAATTTCCCTAAAGAGGGAGGGATTAGTCTTACTAGGATATATTATGCATTCTTTTCAAAAGTTCTTTGTTTCTCTCTTTTCTCATTCCCATCCCCTTAAGAGGACAGTCGTATGATAACAGGTTGTAGAGACGCTGTTGATCACTACGTAATTTTTAATGTCCCAAAATAAACAACAAAAAGTACAATGTGTCAAACTTTAATTGTTAAGGCGGATTTCCACTTACAGCGAAATCGTTCGCTAGCGAAATATTTGCATATTTTCTTTTGAATCGAGAACAGTCAAGTCGAACTAATTTATTTATGCTGTTAAAATTCAAAAGAAAACATGCAAATATTTCGCTGGCGAACGATTTCGCTGTAAGTGGAAATCGGCCTTTATGCACATATACATCGCATTATTTATCCAGCTTTTGAAGCGTACAATATCAGCATATACCGCATAATTCTAGCACAGCCAATCCCCCAGCTCACAGCGCCCATCAGATGCCACCTTCTGTTCACATTACACACCAAGGGTCCCCCGCTGTCCCCTTGACAGGAATCAATCTTCCCAGTGTGTTAGCCAGCACAGAGCATGCTCGATGTGAGTGAACCGTAAACATAACCACAGCTTTGCTTACTAACGAGAGGTACTTTAACTTTAGCCTGTTGCAGGATCTCTGGACCGTGACCATGTTCTTCCAAGGCACCCCAGCCTGTCACCCAACATTGTGTGCCTGCAGGCAGGTTAGAGGTAGGCAGGCAAACGGGTAGGGCCCGACTATTGTACTTGATAGGGGTTTCTAACTTCAGCAACGCTATATCCTTGTTTTTTCGACCAGTCTGGGTCGTAATTATATCATGACGTTAACATACACACCATGTTAAAGTAAAACATTTACACCTGTTCGTGAATTCGTTGGAGTGTAAACAGAGATAATTTTGTACATTTCGTAAACAGCGAAGCCAATGACGATTTAAGCATATGAAATTTTAAACTTGGTGAGAAACTTTTTTAATATCAACAGTTAGATAGTTTCAGATCTTGAGATCGTTCACGATTGTTAGCTATTGGACTGGCTGATGTACAGCCAACAAGAATATGTTACTAAAATTATAAGAGTTACGATAGGGAGATTTAAATTCCATCAAATGTACAAACCAAAAGCGCTGATTTCTGAACAACGAGGCATAATCAACATAGGACGGTTTGAGCTTGGATATGGGAAGGAGAATGGCAGAGTGTGCGAGGTCACAACATTCAAGGGGGGAACTCGACGTATGCGGAAGACACAGGGGGTTGACTACGAAAAGGAATCGACGATATCCTTGTGTTTCCCATAACTCTATATTCCAAAGCCTGTGGGAGCACGCCTTATTTAATTAAAGTTAGTATAATTAAAAACACAAGTATTTGACAAAAAGCATCAGTACTAATATGTAGAGTTTCGATCTTTGTAAATGTAAACCTTCTGAGTTACGAGATCTAGAGTTTTCAATTTCGTTTAGATCTAGTTTTTATATTTTCTCGTAATTTTAATGGTTTTTACCGATGCGAATTAGTCGGGATGTAAATTCTCTTTGTTCAAACCGGTCGTTGGAAACACCTCAACGTGTGTCCGTTACGTTACACGGGTATATACACCTACAACTAATCACGAGAGGTAATCTTGCAGCTAGGCTTCTTCCAAGTTGCGTAAGTCAACCAGTAACGAAATAATTTTCGAAAACAATTTTAAAAATAATAACTACTTTATTTAATTGCGAGCACCCGTCAAATATGCTACTATCAATACCATTAGGTATTGAAATGGTAGGGCAAGGCTAGAACTGAGTGCTAGCTTCTCCAAACTACTCTCAATATTAATACGTTAGTAATGTTACGCAAGGCTTCATAGTGATTGAGATATGCATATAAAAATAGCCATAAAAATAGAAGTAGCAAGAGCATGACAGGGATTAGTGATTATTTTTTGCCACAAGATGCCTGAGTAAATATAATTTCGGCCCATTCGCAACCGTTAATCACATTTCCTTTCATGCATGACATTTCGTGGGAATTAATAAAGTAGTAAGGTGAAAATATCAATCATCCTGTCAGAACGTGCGCATCTGGATCAACAGTCGTATGTCGTTGCCAAGTTCGAGGCAGCTGCGAAGCTCTTATGTCAATCAAATGTTTTTTTTTATAATGCGCGTTCGAGCATTTTAAGGGTTACGTCAGAGAAAGTTTAAATCGATTAATAAAATAGTAGAACAAATAGTTAAGTTCTAAAATAAGGTTCACAAAAACAATGTTTGATAATTTTAATGCTTATTGATGATAAATATTTTAAGTTGTGAACATTAGAAAGTATTGATCGATAGAGCTAAAGACCAACTCGACTAGTGCGTCAACGCCTTATACAAACAAGATATGAGAGCTGGAACGAGCTTCTAAGACCAACCCACATTTCTAACTAACAACGCTGATTGGTTGGATAAGGATCAGCCCATTCTGGTTGATGACGTTTACAGTTGTCCTTCAACCGTGACTATAAAAGGGCGTGCACAACACCCTAACCTTCAGTTGACTGAACACGAGAGTGGACACAAGAACTTCAGATGGAACCCCGAAACGAGAGTGGACTAGCTTAGTAAAAAGCATATGAAACGTTAGGAAGCTCAACCTTACAAGACAGACAATCAAGACCAGAACTCAAAAACGACGAAGATCAGAAGATCAAGAGAAGAATTAAGAATCAAGAAAAGAAACTGAACATTAATGAACATTAGATAACCTTGTAAAAGATCTCCTACCTCGTGCATAGAAGAAAATAAAAACCTATAACAGTAATATAAAACTTACTTTTTAACAGCTTTAATCACAGAAGATATGATGCACTTGACTACACAAAAGATAGTTCACTTTGTAACGTTTTTCACGGATGTGGGCATGTATTCATTTCATAACTCGATCGTATTGAATGCCTTCTGCCACTTCTCCTGTGTTCTAATGTCCATCTCATTGGTTAAACCACTAGAACAACGATGAGGCGAAGAAAAACGCATTTGTTAGAGAAAATAGGGCTTCGGTGACGGTCCAATATTTCGCCTGGATAAGAAGCATTCCGACAACCTTTGATTTTTACGATATTTTAGACTTGACATTGATTTAATTAGCAAATTGCGTGCGTAGTAGCATAACTATTCAAATATAATTATTTTACGTTTTAGGTTGAGTGTGCAAAATTTCAACAACACAATTCAAGAGACAGGCTCATTTTATCATAAATTGACTGTTTTATCGAAAAAAGTTGATATCGAATGACACAACTTGTTTAGAACGGGATTTATTTTATTGCTCCTTCTGTTTACATGTTTCTCCTTCCGGGTTTTAAACTTTCCGGGGATACTCATTCCGGGTTTTAAAGATTCCGGAGTTCTCATTCCGGGTTGCGAAGATTCCAGAATTTCGCAACGCGGAAGCGGAATTGCTGAAGCAGAAAAAGGGGTAAAACCACTTAGCAGCGAAAAAGTTTTTTCAAGTAAAAAATCACTCAATGTTATCGCTTTTACAACAAAGTGAACAAATATATGTTATATCAATCTCAAATATAAGACTAATATAAATTTAAACTATTTGTACTAGGAGTTCTTATTAAAAGGAAAAATTCCTGGCGCCGGGATAGCCAAGCAAATATCTTCACTTCTGCATGCCTAATTCCAAAATGAATTTTATGAAGACAAAAAAAAATTAAGTCCTGAAATCTTTTAAAAAAAACTTCTTTTCGAAAACGAGGTAGAAGATGAAATAGCATTGGACGTACAAGAGCAGGGAGGTCCTCCTGAACCAAGCCAAGAAGCGGATGAGGTAGAACCACAGGAACAACGTTATCCTCTCAGAATAGGGCAAGAACCGGTTAGACTAGGATTTGATAGTTAGACCGGACAGACGACTATATATATACGTATATGTTTAAACTAGGGTGCGAATCTTTTCGGACACCAACTGTTAACAGTTGAATATTGATATTTGAGGGATGACATTTATTAGTGGGAGAGATGTAGTGTATGACGCAGCATGCATATAGCGGGTCAAACAGGGACCGACACGTGTGATCGTAATGGCTGAAGTTTAGTTTTATTATTGACAAAAATTAAAACCGAAAACACTGCAGATAAGGTGAAATAAAAAACTCTCAGTCTGAAGTTCAAAGTCTTTAACCACCCAGCACTGATAGCGGAATTATTATTTAAAAGTCTTTAGTCGAAGAAATGTCAAAGTAAAATAAAAACTCTTGTCTTTTACTACCAGCAGCCGTGGCCGAGTTGGTTATCACAGTGGTTAGTCCATAGGTGGTGGTTCAAGTCCTTGCAGTGTAAAAAACAAAAGTTGCGAATTCTTATTTAATTTCAACGTCTCCATGAAAAGAAAGGTTTAAACGAAATAAAAGACCTTCGTCTCCTTTTTTCGTCTCTTTTTTTCTTCCCCCCCCCCCCCCTTGCGTGAGTAGAATTCGAAAGTCGGGCTGCACGCCGGCTAACTACAGCTTGCGCAGAAATAAAATGTACATAAAACATATATTTTTTCGAGCTTCACGCTTATAATAAGATTAATGTCCAGTACCGATGCACGATGTCAAATGGATAAAATTATAGTCCATTGGTAATTTGATTGTCCACTCGATCCATTGGACATAGGAAATGTCCATCGGCCATTCGATTGTCCATTGGATCCAATGGTCATAGGAAGTGTCTATTGGTTGGTCATCAATGGGACCCATTAGACAGAGGAATTGTCGATTGGCCATTTGATTGTGCGTGGGCCTTAAAGTCAAATTTGATAAAACTACGCAATTGTCTAAGTCAGGCATAGTCAATGCGGGTGCTTGACACACGGCGAGACGAACGCGTCCAATGGCTCCATTGGATCCAATGGACGGGGAAATGTCGATTGGTCATTTGCTTGTCCATGGGATCCATTGGACAGGGGAAATGTCGATTGGTAATTTGATTGTGCGTTGGCCTTTAAGTCGAATTTGATATAACTAGGTACGCAATGTGTGAATTGTCTAAGTCAGGCATAGTCAATCGTGTGCCTGACGGCTGACACACGGCGAGACGAACGCGTCCAATGGCTCCATTGGATCCAATGGACAAGGGAAATGTCGATTGGTCATTTGATTGTCCATCGGATCCAATGGACAGAGGAAATGTCGATTGGTCATTTGCTTGTCCATGGGATCCATTGGACAGGGGAAATGTCGATTGGTCATTTGATTGTCCAACGGATCCAATGGACAGAGAAAATGATCCATTGGACAGGGGAAATGTCGATTGGTAATTTGATTGTGCGTTGGCCTTTAAGTCGAATTTGATATAACTACGCAATGCGTGAATTGTCTAAGTCAGGCATAGTCAATCGGGTGCCTGACGGCTGACACACGGCGAAGCGAACGCGTCCAATGGCTCCATTGGATCCAATGGACAGGGGAAATGTCGATTGGTCATTTGATTGTCCAACGGATCCAATGGACAGAGGAAATGTCGATTGGTCATTTGATTGTGCGTTGGCCTTTAAGTCGAATTTGATATAACTACGCAATGTGTGAATTGTCTAACTCAGGCATAGTCAATCGGGTGCCTGACGGCAGACACACGGCGAAACGAACGCGTCCAATGGCTCCATTGGATCCAATAGACAGGAGAAATGTCGATTGGTCATTTGATTGTCCAACGGATCCAATGGACAGAGGAAATGTCGATTGGCCATTTGATTGTCAATGGGATCCATTGGACAGGGGAAATGTCGATTGGTAATTTGATTGTGCGTTGGCCTTTAAGTCGAATTTCATATAACTACGCAATGTGTGAATTGTCTAAGTCAGGCATAGTCAATCGGGTGCCTGACGGCAGACACACGGCGAAACGAACGCGTCCAATGGCTCCATTGGATCCAATGGACAGGGGGATGTCATTTGAGTCCAACGGATCCAATGGACAGGGGAAATGTCGATTGGTCATTTGATTGTCCAACGGATCCAATGGACAGAGGAAATGTCGATTGGTCATTTGATTGTCCAACGGATCCAATGGACAGAGGAAATGTCGATTGGTCATTTGATTGTCAATGGGATCCATTGGACAGAGGAAATGTCGATTGGTCATTTGATTGTCAATGGGATCCATTGGACAGAGGAAATGTCGATTGGTCATTTGATTGTGCGTTAGCCTTTAAGTCGAATTTGTTGTAACTACGCAATGTGTGAATTGTCTAAGTCAGGCATAGTCAATCGGGTGCCTGACACACGCCGAAACGAACGCGTTTGTTTTGGTCACAGAAAATGTCTATTGGTCATTTGATTGTCCATTGGATCAATTACATAGAGGAAATTCGATTGTGCGTTGAAGTTTAGGGTCGAATTTGATACGCAATGTGAACCGTGTATCGAATATCACGTTTATGCATATCTTTGCGCTGTTGTTTATTATTGAGAGGAATATGGAGGAATTAACAAAAAACCCTTCTCGCATGTTGCGTTTATTTGGGGTTGTGAGTGTTTTAGGACGTTCCTTTACCTCAATATCGAGTGTGCTACATTCTGTATGCAACTATGTATGCGGGGAGGAGGATTCTGCTGAATCGTCAAGCGACGCCGACATGACGAGCATGACAGCAACTGCTGAAGTTAGTATATATGTGGAGTTTTCAGTTAAGAACGAGGCATATACATGTGTCATAGTATTTGTATAATGCGGCGGAGTTTTTTTAAGAACGAGGCATACATGTGTCACAGTATTTAAAATGCGGGCTTTTTGAGGCATATGAGATTATGAGTATAGCCTATTAGCACGAGTTTTTTTAAGAACGAAGCATAAAAGTGACGAGGCATATACATGCATATATGAAATTATACGGACAAAGAATATGTCCAATGGACATTTGTAAATGTCCATTAGACAATTGCTTGTCCATTGGGTCCATTGGACTATTGGACAATATAAGCAAAACGCATTGAAGCAGCATGCGGTAATTACATATTCAGTTTAGCTTAATTTCCCATTTCCGTTGGACATTCATGATGTCGATTGGACATTCAGTTTGTCCAATGGATCCGATGGACATGCTAAAACCCGGCGGACGTGTAATTGTCCATTGGATCTATTGGACATTGGAAATGTCCATTTGACCACTGGACATGTTGCATAGGTATTGGACATTTATGTATAATAATGGATTGGAGTTTATTTGCGTAATTTTTTTTTATTACGTAGTTTCTAAGTACAGTTGTTTTGCAATCATTTCATTATATATCAATTATATATTTTGAACTGAATTTTGTTGCAAGGTCCTTGCACTTGCCTAGGCATTTGTAATAAACATTCGCCGTATTCCTCAGTATGCATGTGTATCAATTAAGCGAAAATTTTAAGGTGAAGTTTGATAATTTTGGCCAAGGCTTTAACAAAGTTATATGAACTAGTATTTCTACATATAAGATTTTTTTTGCTCAGTCAATATTCACTCAGTCAGTTTTGGCTTTGGACAGGTATTTCATTTTCACTCTTCAGTGGAAGAATGCCAGGTTTATATAATGTCAACCGCAATACAAACAAACATAATAATGTACGTATTGCCTGAACGCCGACTATTTACTCCGGCGTCAGCGACGGAGTTGAAAATTCGCCCCGGTTTTTGTTTTTTTTTGTTTTTGTTTTTTTTTGTTTTTGTTTTTTTTTATTTTTTCGTCGTCGCAAGTCTGTAATGGCGCGAAATATATGTCTATGTTCAGAAGCTCTATATTGAAGACTGGCACGTGCGCCGGAGTTAACGCCAGAACGGCGTCTTGTTTAGTATAGTTTCATAGTATTGACATTGAAATTTTCGTTAATGAAAGCAAATTTACGACTATAAGAATACAAACATGATGAATATATCCATTTCTTTGCATACTTAAATATTTAATAACACATGAAGTTCATAATAATTATGCATATTTGCAAAATGATCAACATCATTTACATGCAAACATTTTGGAATCAATATAGAAATGCTCTGTTATTTACGAACAATAATTATGCATTTGACAACATATAGCAAACCACATGCAGTTCTTTAGGATTTTTCAGATGGGGTTTTTGTGTACACCTGTAGAGCACTTTAATTTTTAACATAGGGGGTCTATGCCCCCCCCCCTTGTGTGACGCATTTTATGGATCGCTCTATGATTGGCTGGATACCATCGTCTCGTGATACCCGTCAGCATCGACCACTAGTTAATTTGGACACGAGGGAATCGGAGATATTTTCCTTCGCTAGCAAAGCTGTTTGCTGCCGAATTTTAAAGCTGTGATTAAAGTAACTTTTTTTAAATATATTTTTTTGATGGATGTGATCAAAAAGCAATATGCGACAACGTGCTCCCTAATGGAGTTTGTGAGACTTCACATCAAGGAAATGCATATAAGCGAAGCCTTGCAGACGTTTATGTCGTCTAGCATTGTCGCTTGCGATGCAACAACAAATTTGCGCGTGGAGAAGTTTTGCACCAAAAAGGCAAGCACGATAGACGAGCTACTGTCCGTTCTTATCAGCTTGTCGACGGTGCAAGGCGAACCCCGAGACAACATGTTGACCATGGGGTACAAGCGCGGCACATACGTCCGACCTGTAGGTGACCATCCATTCTACCAAAATAGCATGGCTGTCTTCGTTCAGTCGGCTATTTTTGAAGCGTTACACGAGCTCATTGGAAGCGATCTGATGCTCCACTTGATGAAGAATTTAAGCTTATTCATCAAGGAAGGCTCGTGCTTCATGCAGGTCACAGGGAAACCGATCAACGAAGTTCTAAAAGGTATGGAGTATTTTGCGTTTCTATTTTTAAATAAGACTCTATTGTTAGAAAGAATTAAGATCGTTTCAAATGCAATACAATGATCAATACACTTGAATTTTGATGTAGGCTTTATCAATACTGAATAGGCTTTGTTAAAACAATGCGGAAGTGTTTTCTGAAGCATGAAAAGCCTGGTTTTCTTTTCTTTTATAACGGAAAAAACGTTTTGATTTAATAAATACATGCAAAAGACTGCAGAAAGATTATTCTTTTAAAATTTATTTTGTCTTTCTTACCCTTATGTTATTCAAGCCTTGTGCTATTGTTAATGCTTGTGTTTTTGCCTTTTTTATCCATCCTCAAAGCAGCTTGGACAAAAGAAACACATTATTTAAAGCATACAAAATGTTGAAAAGAATCAGATTTTGTCAATTCTATAGCCAAATATTCAAGTTCAATACAAAATATGATCCAATGCCACAGGTGTAACCTGTCACATGCTCTAATTAGGCTTACCTTCCTCATTGAAAATCTCATTCAGTATTACTTTGTTCCTCCTGATTCAAGAGTGCTTAAATGCTTGCTATGGTTCTTTTTTTTAATAGATCTTTTATGCTTAATTTCCCAACAAATAGCTTTGCTTGTTATTATTATTCTCACTTGTCATTATGAATTGCCAGCCATACACTTCAAACAACATTGTGTTTGCATAAAACCAAGCTTTTACCCAAAACCAAACTTCTAAAGCTTAGGTGCAATGTTGGATATAAAAGGAGTCGTCCTCCCTGGTCAAGGCTTTCCTCTAATATCTCCTGTTAACACTTTGAAAGAATTGCCGAATGATAGTAAAAACATTTTACTTGAATGGTTGATCATTTCAAAATGGAAAAGAATTTACTGTGCTAAAATATTTCTATGTAAATAGTTTGATGTTCCATGAAAGTACATATTTATTATTTAATGCGTAAGATGTGGGTTCAGTCATTCATAAGGTCTTATACTGATATCTTTAATATAGATGAGAGTATACTATTTTTAAACTTTGGTCTATTCACTGTTTGTGCTAAGTGCCTTTCAAACAACCAGCCCCTTCTGTAACTTTTGCTTCGGTTAGGGGCTATGGCATATCTGACTGCTATACAAAGCTGTCATCTGGAAATTAGGGTCAAACCTGACAAAAATAAATTAGGTTTTTTCAAGTTTGTCTCATAGAGTCACAGTCAGCTTCATATATGTCAGTTTGTGCTCAAATTGCTCAAGCCTGTTCAATGTAAATAACATTTTTGATATTGTTTGAATTTTTAACTATAATGACCTGTGCAAATCACTGAGTTGTTGGCTAAGGAAGATATTTTGAATTTCCCTTCCACATTTGCCAAGTCCTGGGGCAAATTATTTCATCAACATGGCGGCATGTGAATATACGATTTCAATTTAAATTTTGTGTGCAAATATGTTGAGTCATTCAGACTTACTATGTAGCTTTCAAAGATTCCTTCTGTACGTTGGAGGTAATAAAAACAGTCTCTAAGGTAGTTCCCTATTCTCTTTGAATAAACCAATTGAATACTATTTCACAACAATTTTTTGTGCTTAGAATGGCAATGCAAGCTGTATATTCTGGATTTCTGAGGGGAGTTTAATGTTTATGCAAGCTAGACAAGGTTAAATAGGCTGATTGACTTATATAACTTCAAGATTTATGTAAGAAAAAAAGTGAAGGGATTTGCCACTAATGATTTTAGCCAAGACATGTTTTGTCCAAGAAAATATTTTGTCACTTTAATCAGCCAGATTATACTCAGGCACTTTAATATTGTGATGGACCTACTCACTGGACCTACTCTGAAAATTAGCTTGAGCAGGGTCATAAACAAACCTGCAATCTTTAGTTTGCTAAACGTTCTAGGTCCCCAAGTTAAAATTAACCTGACCATGGTGCTATACATGTTTTAATTTACACATATTGTATAGAATTACAGTCTTGCTTGATGTATTTTGTTAATGGTGCATGTGATAGATGTGTTTGCATTTTCAATAATGATATTTTCCAAACTCCAGCTAGTTGCTGCAAATTAATAGACCTATCTTTTCTGGAATGATATGATCAGCTTATTTAGCAATATCACTTGATGATTACCACAGTGGTGTACTCCATTATTATCCAAACAGTATATATAGGTCAACTTTCTAACAGCTGGGGTGCATCCAGTGTGGTTTCATACTTTGGTGTGGGTGGGGAGGGTTAAGGTTAGGCCTGTCAACAGGTTGATTTGGCTACTTTTTAGTGTTTAATGTGGCTCAATTACAGCAGTGTATGGCTGGTGTTTATTAGATTTTTATGTTTGGTGGTCACAAGTTTGAAAAGTGTATAACCGTGACTGACTTGTGTATGTATATATATATATATATATATATATATATATATATATATATATATATATATATATATATATATATATATATATATATATGTATATATATGTATATATATGTATATATATGTATATATATATATATATATATATATATATATATATATATATATATATATATATATATATATATATATATATATATATAGAAATATATATATATATATATATATATATATATATATAAGTAGAAATTCTAGTTTGGAAATATTGGTGAATTTTATGCACTATAAGATCTGACTGGAACCAGTTTTCAAAAATTTGCAACGACATTTTCCTCTGGTAGGAATCAACCTGGTGCCCTGGGATTCTGGTGCAGTGCTCTATATATTTTAAGCTACACTGTGAGGCCATAAACTTCATGTTTTTACTCATGTATATATAATCAACGCATGTGTGTATAATCAAATTCTTGTATATATAATCAAAACATGTGTGTATATTTAATAGGATCACCCATGCCATTAACCATTGACTATTGTCGAAATTCGAACTGTCGTTTTAATCCTAGCTTTGATATTATTAAGTTTAATGAACTCTGAATTTCTAGGGGACAGTATTATAAAACATCTTCATATTTTTTGAAAATTTGTCTAAAATTCCTGTTCACCTACTTACCTGTAAACACTTTCTATGTATTTATTACAAGAATTGTTCTCTCAATAAAAAAATTACCCTCTATTTCAACAGATGTGAAGAAACCTTCCATAGATGGGAAAGAGTTGGTGAGCCGCAAAATAACTGGTGTTGTTGGTCATGATAAACGTTGGTGTTTTCCAGTGGACCATGTTATGGAGAAGTCGCCATGTAGCACCATTGGGGCCCGTGCTTTGATGAAGGAGATATTCACCAGTGACCAAACATCAAAATACCTTGAAGAGTCTGTTGAAGATTTTGTGTTGTTCCTGCGAAGACACAAGTCCTGCCCATTTAAGAAGCTGTTAGTTAACATTTGCCCAGAATCCAAGAGCCTCGAAAGTGTTCCATTCCATCAGGTAATTTTTAAAATGTGTGCATAGACTTTTCAGGAATAGATTCTTGGTAGTTATGGGAGGAGGGGGGGTGCTGGGCATAGGTTGTGGTACAGCTGTCGGGAATGTTAGGTGCCACCTATATAGTCAGGCTGTAGGCACTGAATTTTTACACCCCCCTGTAATTTGAACTGATACCTAAAATTGCACCCATGCCCCCCTCTAGACTAGGCTATGGGGTTGCACCCCCCTTACCAGTAAATTTATCACCATATTGTAACCAGGTCTTACAGAGAAATATAGGTCACATGTGCCTTCTTTTTGTGGATACTGTTTTTTCTCATCTTTTCCTAGGACCTTCATAATTTGCCCTTTCAAACACCCCCTCCGCCAGCCCTTGCTTATAACCTGTTTACATCCTGCTTGAAGCCTTATGGGAGAGGGGGGGGAACCCCATCCATAACAACCCAATCACTTCATGTACCATCAGACTTTTCTCGCACTGGAGGGCCCAGTGGCTACCAGTAAAAGTGGTTCACTTCACCCTTGGCCAACACAGATCTTTAATGCTATAATATCTAATGTGTGAATGAGGGACAAAAATTTCTATCGCTCCTAGTTGAAACTCTTCACTCGTGCTGTGTTGAAACGGGCTGTACCGATGAAGCTGTGGGGCTGTCGAAAAAACCTGAGCGCCTTTGATTCCAGCGTCGAGCGATATTTGTCCTTGCGAAAAGGTGAAAACATGTCTGTTCATAACGTGATGAATGGAATTCGTGTCAGCGAATGCGGCTTTGTCAAGCTGCCCGCCCGTAAAACTGGTCACCGCATCCCACAGTCATTGTCCCTCAAACGCGAGGATTTGGTAAGGAAATTCTTCGTGTGGTTAATGAACTGCTATGTCGTGCCCTTGTTGAGAAATTGCTTCACGATCACCGAGTCTGTGCCTACGCGTAATCGCCTTCTCTATTACCGAAGAGGCGATTGGGACAACGCCCAAACTAGCGCTGTTCAGGAGTTGAGAAAAACTATGCTGCTACCTCTGCCCCAGACTGAGGCTGAAAAGCGTGTCGCATCGAGAAGGAGCCTCAAGGCGCCTTTGCGTTTTATTCCTAAGGCAAGGTGAGCATTGGTTCGTTTTAAATGTTGATATAGCTACGGCTGATTTATTAAAGGCTGATTCGATAATTGAAGCTTTATAATTACCATATCGTCATTTATATAGCATTTTACCCACTTTAAATAAATTGCAGAATTGTCTACACTTCAAATCTCCGGCACTTGCCAAGCATGCGCGCTGAAAAAGTGGGTGCACTAGTACCAGCTCTGTATCTAATATTTACTCTGTGCTATACACGCCTAAAAATTCTGAGCCTGCGGTTATCAGCATGGAGCAATGTTGTGCTGCCATTATTGTTCACACTTGTCAACAACATTGAACAATATTGTGGGAAATGAATCTGGTTTGACAATATGTTCGTTATTGATAACAACTCTGAACAATGTGGGCACCACAACACTGTTCATATCAATATTGCATCAACCTGATCGTTTTTTAGGCGTTTAGTGGTCTTCGTCTTGTGATGAATTCCCTCGTACTTTATTTATATTTACTATAGTGGTCTACGCCCTGTGATGAACTCTCTCATACTTCATGTACATTTACTGTAGTGGTCTTCGCCTGTGATGAACTCTCTCATACACGCGTAAAAACGCTCAGGTTGATGCAAGTTGATATAAACAGGATGGAGCAATGTTGTGCTGCCCATATTGTTCAGAGTTGTTATCAACATTGAACAGTATTGTTGACACTGAATCGGGTGTAACAATATTGTTCAATATTGATTACAACTCGGAACAATGCGGGCAGCACAACATTGCTCCATCCTGTTCATATCAACTTGCATCAACCTGAGCGTTTTTAGGCGTGTACTTTATTTACATTTATTATAGAGGTGTACGCCCTATATTGAACTCCCTCGTACTTCATGGACATTTACTATAGTGGTGAACGGCCTGTGATGAACTCTCTCATACTTCATGTACTTTTACTATAGTGGTGTACGCCCTGTGATGAACATGACAGCGAAGGTGAATCCTCCTGAAGGATATCCTCACGAGGAGCGTTCAGTAAACGAGATGCTGACTTTCGTCGATAGTGTGCTCACGTACGAATGTCGACGATGCCCGGAACTGTTGGGCGGCTGCGTGATGGATTATGGCGAGATCTTCAGGAAGCTCTCAGCATTCAAGGAATCACATCGTTCCGAGCAAAGACCATTGATTGTCGTACGCTTGGATTTCTCCAAGTGCTATGATAGGTTTGACCAGAAGAAAATGATGGAGATCCTCAAGGAGGTATGCTGGTCAAACATTCCTAACGCCTGTTTACACTTGCAATTTTTGCTGCGATTTTCGTCTTTTGATAGATGTGACAGAGTAAATTAGTTACGGTTGTTCAAATAAAAGCTATTGTATGTCAGAGTATTCGTAACTAATTACTCGTTCACATCTATCAAAAAAGAAAATCAGGCATGGCAGCAAAACTGGTAAGTGTGAATGAGCCTAAATTATAGCATTACCGTGCGATTTCACGAATTTCCAAAACACCAAACCTGCTTCTAAAAGATGATTTTGAAAATTTACGATATTTTGTGTGTACTAATAAAAAGATTAGTGGAAATTTTGTAATTTCCTATGAAATTTCTATTTCCAGCAGGTGAACTTTGTGATGACTGGAGCGATAACTGCCGGTCACTTGGATGCACTTTTCAAGCTTAATTGAAGACCAGTTCTATTTTGTTATTGTCCGCGCGATTGTGATCCGACAATTGAAATGAACAGGATCTGGTTCCTGAACTCGTCTTCAAAGATGACGGCCGTGTTATTGTTCCAGTTTACACAGAGTTTACTGGTTGTAACGGCGGTTTTCCACTAGGAAGAATTTTTCGCCCGAATGAAATTTTTTGTCTGATATTCTTTTCAATCAAGAGAATTCAACCGTAGCGGATTCCCTTCACCGGTCAAAATTGAAAAGAAAATCGAGCGAAAAATTTCGCCTAATGGAAAACCGCCTTAACACCTCGATGAACTGGCTTTTGTTGACGCGTGATTACCAGGCTGTAAAAAACACGCGGTTTTAGTAATATATATTTTTGTTATCACTGTGTAGGTTATCAAGGAAGATGAATACAACATCCGCAAGTTCATTGAAATGAAAACGAATCTGAACAACAACATCGTCTATAAGCACAAGAAGCCAGCCGCTCCAATAGAAGATAACAGATCTTTCCCAGTCTTTCTTAAGGAAAATATATCCGATGAGAAAATGAAGAACACTGTGGCCGTCGACAAAATGTTCTATAACAGCGTCCCCCGCGCTAAAATAATTGAAGATCTTTGGAAACACATCAGGGGGAATGTTGTACAACTGTCAAGTTCCCAATATTTTCTGCAGAAATGTGGTGAGTTTTCAATGCTTTTCTTATCTGGGATGGATATCCAGGGATGTTTTGTAGTGGGGGTAGGAAATCAGCTGCCGGGCATAGGGTATAGAGTATAAAACCACAAGCTGCCAGAAATATTAGAATGCATGTTTTAAAGATTGTGAATATAAGGTGCTACATAGATTCTCAAGGCTTCAAAAAGACTTTAAAGAGTCTGATGTTTTTATTTGAGATGCATGAAAAAGATGCTTGGACTTACCTGTCCTGAAATTACGGTGGATTCAAAGTTGAAGAAAATTCACCCAGACTATTGCGTCGTGCATATCAGACATATATTTATAAAATAACATGTATTTTACGTGTTTTCTGATTGGTCGAAGCCCGTGTTTGGATCAGGCCATCCAAACACGGAAATATAATCAAGGAAATCAAACTTGGAACACTACCTTGTTGTTGTGGTTGTGTTGTAAAACAATTACTTAATGGTTTCCCGTGTTTTCATGGCCCGGGGGAGGTTGTATAATAGACTAAATCACTTTTAACTGTGGTTAAGGATAGAATTGGTCAATCAGAGTTGTGCATTTCTGAGTTAACTAGGATTTAACCTAGGCGAAATGTAGTTTAGGGGCTGTTTACATGAGCCCGGTTACCGGAGATTCAACGAAGCGTGAGATGATTTTGAGGTATTGAAATAAGAAGATAACATGATCCTGGCAGTCATATAATCACCACAACAATAGAACGTGCTTGTTTGGTGTCATAATGTCTTATTTCAGTACTTCAATGTCCTCTCATGCTTCGTTGAATCTCGGGTAACCGGGCTCATGTAAACAGCCCCTAAAAGATTACAATACAACGGGCCCCAGATCCAAACACTTGGGAATGTTGCGTGTTTCGCGCGCTTTTCGTAACTCTCGCAACATTCCCGCGTGTTTGGATCAGGCCATCTAAACACTGACACCATAAAGTAATTGTTTCATCCAAAATGGCGAAGCTGGACTTGTTGTTGATAAAAATTTGTGAAGTGATTTAGTAATCACAAACAAGACAAAATCTTTACTTCCATTTAAGTTCATGTTGCATGGCAACGGGAAGTTCAACTAAAACTGAATGTCTAATCCATCAAAATATCTGCTCAATTTTATTCCAGGTATAGCGCAGGGTTCAAAGATTGCGCCCACTTTGTGTCATCTTTACTTGGGTCATATGGAGCGCACAAAAGTCCCGGATGTCTTCTCGGACCCGGACACTCTTCTGATGCGCTGGATCGACGACCCTCTCCTGTTGACGTACGACCAGCAGTTAGCGAAGCGCTACCTCACGGCGATGCTCGAGGAGGATCCGATCTACAAGTGCAAGATCAACGTAGAAAAATGTCTTGTAAATTTTGACGCGGTCACGTCGACTGGTGAGCCAATCAAGAAACTATCTGATGAAGAAACATCGATACCATGGTGTAGTCTCTTTATAAACATCGCTACTTTTGATGTGCGATTCGATTACTCTCGCTGTGAAAGTAAGTGGTGAAAGTTAATAAGTCATGCAGATCTAGTTTTAAACGTATCCGGTGAAATATATGATCCTCTCTAAGTCATTCAATTTGATAAAAGTGTATAAAATAAGTCAGACCTAGTTGGATAGGGTATGCGATGAAATATACGAGCTTCTCTAAGGACTGCTTTCAAATGTCGCGTTTTAGGAACGTAGTCGTACACGCCCTAAGAAGCTTAAAACCTTCTAAGTTGTTGTATACTTCATTTTTTGCGAGGAAAATCACGCGAAATCATCAAAAGAATCCAACCCTGTGCATCTATTCAATCGTTGATTTTATAAGTATGGTTTAAATTATTTTAAACTTTTACGTGCGTATACGTACAGGTACTTAAAAAAAGTGATATATACATTGATAAATGTGTATAAAATAAGTCAGCCTGTCCTTGCTATCAACGCATGAGAAACAACATTTCTAGCTGAAGCCTACAATGCATTGTCAAATAAATAGTTATAAGAGGCCAGAGGGAACTCTTGTGTGAATTATTGTTTGAAGATTATTTGTTTGTTATAAAATGACGCTTTTTCTATATAGGTTTCGAAGACATAAAAAACAGTTTAAAATATGACACGTCCAGGAAGCCAGGAGAAAACATGTTCAAGTGTTTGAAGTTTGCCTTACAAACGAAACTTCACCAATTATTCCTTGATCCTAAAATCAATTGCGTACGAACAATTGAAACGAATGTCCGTGAATGCTTCACATATTTTATTAGAAGAATGGATGCAATGGTGTCGGAATTACCACCAGGTAGGTCGTGGGTTTTTTTGGGAACCAGTATTTAGAGTAGACATTAAATTGTGAAGTTCAATCTTGGTCATGCGAAATGGGGAGGAATTTTTTAACGTTTGAAATAATCACTATCCTCTGGATAACTGTGTCCATCTTTCAAACAAGCAGCCCTTGATGTTCGAATATCCATTTTGACCATTAGTGACTCCACTTATTCACATTTATCAAGAGGTCGAATGTACTCTCGGTTGCCTTTAAGAGATAGTGAAATATGATAAAGACCTCTTTTGAGAGTATCCATTTTAAGCATCAGTAACTTATCCACTAAAGACCATGTTACACGATTTTTCTTGCATCTTGCAATGCAATTCTACTTTTGGGAGATGTATATTTGGGAACAATGAAACTTTTGCGTTTATTACACTTCGTGCACTTTACTTCCGCAAGACTCTTCACTGATATACATCTTTTAGAAGTGGAATTATTACATTGCAAATTAGAAGAAAAATTGCACCGTGTAACATGGCCTTAACTTATTCAGTAACTTATTCACATCTATCTTGATGCTCGAATATACTTTATTGCGAAAATCCCGTTTACACTTCTGATTTTTGCTGCTATTTTCTTTTTTCGATGGATGTGGACGAGTGAATTAGTTGCGGATGTTCAAATTAGAGCTCTTATACATCTGAGCATTCGTAAATATCCACTCGTTCACATCTACCAAAAGAAGAAAATCGGACATAAAATCCTTAAGAGATAGTTGCTAGAGATAATAAAAAGAGACATGGAGACCTCTTGACAGTATCCATTTGTATATTTAGCGACTCAGGCCCATCGTAACCCGGAGTTTTTCCTGAGAAGCATGGATGAGATTTTTGAGACATATTACCAGCTGGCGAGCAGATTCTTACCCCACGACATTACTCGAGAGAAAGTGCATTCCTTGTTCTATCAAGCTGTCCTGGAATTCATCAAACGGAAGACTGTGAGGTATGGTCGACTGATTGATATGGTGAAGGGTAAGCTGAAAAGATTATGATTGTTCTGTTTTGTACGATCGGGTTGAGGTAACCTGCTGACTTCATTGTGTCATGAATCGAAATGTTGCTTTCACAAAGCAAATACAAATATAGAGCAGATATATAGAAGTATTGCTTACCAAAAATCGTCCACTACAGTCTGCTTCATCCGTATATGAATCTTCACGCAGGTGGTTTCATCCGTATAGGAATTCCTTTACGGATGAAACAGAATGTAGTGGACGATTTTCGGTAGGCAATACTTCTATATATACTTCTATATATAAAGCTATTAAAAAATGACAGACCAACCTTTGCACCTTCGCACTATGTGTTGAACTGTCAACATCTGAAAACAATCTTTTTCTCGTTGAGAAAAGGACTATGCAAAAATAAAAAATTGCAACTTATTAACGTTATTTAAGCTCTTTCGGGTTGTCTGTAAATGAGATAATATCTGAGCCGGTGCGGAGCACTGTGTGAGGGTACTAATTCCGCCCGGAGATTAGGGATTATACCCGGAACCCGGGAGAACATAGCGGAATCCAAAGTTGTCCAAATTTTATGTCATGGACGTTGGACGTTCAATGGTCGTGATACATGTGCGCACGCGCAAAATTTGAACGAGTAAAGATTGGTAATTAACAACTTACTCGATGAAAAACGTGATTTTAATTGTCATTTTGCAAACTATTTCTTTCAAAAAAATGTTTCGTAAACAGGATATGAAATGTGGAATCAAATAAAATTTAAATATTCAACGAGACTTACCTGTAAGGTGAAGTTGGATTTTAATTCTACAAGTCATCAGGCAGGGAGCGAAGGAGTTGTACGATCGGAATTGATACGAGATAGTGCCAACTATTCACCGAGAACCAAACTTCGTTGCCGAGCTTTTCGCTCCACTATAATTGATTATTTATTCATTGATGCATGATTTTCGGGAGGGTGTACAACTCCTTCACTCCCTGGCTGATGACTTGTAGAATTTAAATCCAACTTCACCTTATTGAATTTTTAACTTCTACTGCGATCGGAATTGATACGAGATTTCAAAGCTCCCAGGGAGCAAAATCATAGACTAAGTAAGTACAAATTGTGTAAAAACACAACATTTATTGATTATAGACTATTTAGTAACACTGAGCCAAAATTGAAGGAGGATTGTTCAATCTCCTTGTGATAATAAGTTTGAAATGTCCTTTCATTTGACGCCAGCCAACTGCTTTAAGAATCGAAATATGTCAACGTTATTAGATGCCAGATGAGAGGTGGAGGCTGCTCTTGTGCTGTGTGTTTTACGTTTTTGAGTATTCACCCTTGCATTTCTTAAGAATTCTTTGCACCAACGACCAATTGTCTCTGTAGATACAGGTCCGTGGGGTTTACAACTTTTTACAATTTGGTTTACGTTTCTTTTCGGTCTGATTTAAATATTCTGTAATGTGTTGTACACTTGTGCTACACACAGTCTTTTGTCACAGCCTCGTATCCAGGCGCATTTTATGAAAAGCATAAAGGCTGCCTTCAGCGTAATATAGAGATCTGCCGCTAAGATGTGCGAGCGCGCAGGGGTGCTTGGGGAGGACGCGGCAAATGAAGCGCCTGGCAGAATGGGCAACAAATACGGCGGAAGATTTATTCTTATTCATAGTGCATAATACTGTAGATGCAAATGAGCAAATAACCGTACTCGATGAAATTGAAAGGCCTATCCACCGAGCGATACATTTGGGAAAGATTTTTTGTCCAAATGATCACTGCGTCGATAGCAGCGGTGTTATTCATCATTTTCGAATATTAAGGCACAAACAGGAATTTACGAGCGATGAAAGAAGAGAATCTACTCGAATATGCAATGATTTACATCAGATTTTATAGGTTGCACCTATCTTCATCTGTTTGACTTCTTTATTAATTCGTTTTTCTGGGGGGGGGGGTATGTTATCGTAACACCTCCAGAAACATTAAGCAGTTTGACTTTGACCTGGTACGTTTTTATCAATGCTGAGTTTAATTTGAAAAATCGTTGCAATTACACATTATGGTCTTTTGCAAGTTCATTAGCCAGTTCAATGTTTCCATCATCTAATGCAGTAATAGGCCGTTGTTTTTCTCAAGTAATTATCATTCTGCTTTACCGAAATATTATGTCACATCGTACTTTAAGCTGTCTACCCTAAAAATGGCATTTCCAGAGTATGTTTTAAATCTTTAATTTTTGAGAGAAAAAATTGCCTGAAATGAATGAAAGTTGTTTTTTTTACAAAGAACAGGTCTTAAGACATACAAAAAATATATTTCATAAACTTTGCAAATATCAGGGGGGGGGTGTACTGCCCCCGAAAGCCAGATAACTTGAATATTCTAGTCTGTTTAAAATGCTAAAACTCAGAGCCAATTTAAAATACTAGCATGAAGTTTGGCATACATATACAACATCTATCAAACTTATCTTTTTGATTAGACACTGCGTTACGATGGTAATCTTCCTGTGATTTTAGGACTAACTCGCCCTTTTTCATTGTCATGACGCGTCCATTGTCAACGTGGCTGTAATATTTACGAATTCAAGGCTAAAAAAACCAGGTTGAATTAACAGATTTCTAACACTGAGCTAATATATCCTATGTCTTAAATATGTTTTCTTACCTGACACTTTTCCATACAAATCAAACAACATCTCGGCCACTCTTTAAGTCGTTCTCCTCTTTCACCGCTTTCCACTTATGGAAAGTTTTGAAGAGGCAAACCTTTGTAGTATTTCTCGTTGCGAAATACTCTTTCCTCTTTGATGTTTTCTTTTTTCACCGGCAGAAAACTCGAAGATTGAACTCGAAGGTTGTAACTCCTGTAAGTCCGCCATCTTACTCGAGTAAGAAGAAGACTGTGATTGGGTCAATGTTTTTCGTCTTTCATAGTGTCCTCCTTTGTAGGCTGAGTTGTAGTGGATGTACAAGTATTTCACGGTAGAAGTCCTCTATAAATGCCTTCAAGTCCGAAATTTGGAATGCTTTCCAACCCCGCAGCGCTTCAAAAGGCAGCTTGCGGTTCTTTTTTGCACATGTCATTCATTAATTTTTGTTCAGCCAGTCTGTTGCTTTTCTGAACACTATCCTAATTTTTTCGCAAAGTCATGAAAATGCGCCGCAAATATAAAATGTTTTGGGGGTTTTGAGGAAGTTGCTTGCATATTGTGCTTGAACTAACGTTGCGCTCAACTGAGTGCGTGAGGATTTTTATATTTTCCCGGTGTAAACAAGTACAAAAAAACTCGTTTTAAGGCCCGTTCACACGATCCAACTTCGTCGGATGTAATTCACGTCCGACGTATGGAGTATAGTTTGTTTTTGATAAAGCAGTTCTGCATTGGTTTAAGTTGATTTGCTGCCCATGTACTTTGCAAGGCAACAGACTATAAAACATCCATGAGAAGTGAATTGGATCTGACAAAATTGGATCGTATGAACATACCTTTACTGATGCGGATACAATATATGTCTAGGATATGTCAGTTCATCGAAATTTTAGGTTTAATTAAACACTGCAATTTGAGTTTCGATGCACTTTGTTTGTCAAAGCATTCGTCAAGATGACTTGTTAGTGTGATGTTTATCATTCATGATTTTCATCTTTCTGCATTTTTAAAACAGAAACATTTCGTTTCCAGTTTCATCTTTGCCTGAAGGACGCGGTCTTAATTACAACTTCTACAACATATTGTCCACACACAAACACAATACAAGCAACATGGTTCGTTTTTTGAATGCCTTTTGGAAAGGATTTTTTATTGCCACATTCAATGCATGCCGAGGTTTATTCAAAATCATGCTATAAACATTCTATAACATTTATAACGTCATATTACATCTGAAAAGATGGGTCGATATGACCCGTTTGAATAAAATTTCAATCATTTAATTGCACAGATATTTCTGTAAATATCGGGAAAAAAATTCTTTCAGGGACCAAAGGCATTTTCAATTTAAAACACCCAGGAAAGATGAGAAATCCTCTTAATATTGTAATTGCTTTACAATGCAATAAAAATCCTTTTCGTCTAGGTACCATTACTCTTCATACAGCAACAAGTCAATTTAAATATCACATGCTAGCTACCTTGTTTTTCCATGATAAAAATAAGACTCACCGGAAATAAAGACCACTGAGTGTTGTGGTAAAGCTAGAGAACTTTCGCTTCGACAGATTCTGACCTTACCATCGAGCATTCGTAGAAATACGGAGTGATTTCGTAAAGGTCGTGGTACGAAATAGCCTCGATAACAAAAGTGCAGGACAACTACATTTAAGCAAAGCCTAAATTAGAAAAATGGATCCAATGGATTTACGAAGTATTATTGTTGGAATGTGATGCGTATGCGATCAAAACTATGGCATCCTTGACTGAGCAATTTTAGAATATTGGAATGGTCATTTGCCATTTGTTATATCGTTGTCGAAATGATGCCTTAAAAATCCTGATCTCAATGTACATGTCAATGAAATGTGAGGAATATTTTTTAACGAAACATTATAACGTGATTGTTTAAGATTACGCTTGTTATGCGTTTTATATGAGATGCTCAAAATATCCCTTCCTGTGCAGTGAACGGCGTCCTTTACCACCCGAAGTCTATCTTGGAAGGCTATTGTCTAAAACGATTGTTTTCAGTTGAAAGGTATATGTTAATAACTATCAATATGTGCATGATTTTCAACTTTCCTCACTTCGGGGTTTTTGTATTTGTCCTGTATCCAGAATGTGCTAATTCAGCAGGAAGGTTATCTTGAAAGGGCCCGTATGTGACGATGTTTGAACGCTTCTTCTGAACGATTATATCAAGTTTACCAGCTACGATATACACATGTCTTAAACATTGATTCAATTGCATTGTTTCTGGAGAATACCAACATACGAACGTTACCTCCGGTCTAAGTCTATCGAAATATCAAAATTGAAATATTCTAATA